TAAGCTCAGGCACAGGCTAGGCCACAGACACAAGCAGTTTTCACTACATCTCTGCTGTTTGGCTCCACTAGTGTGGATCCACATGCTGGACACTGCTCTTTCTGTTCTTTGATGAAACCAAGTTCAACGTATAACCCACAGAGAGGCGCAGAGGTCTTCAGCAGTGTGTGTGTCCACAAACCTGGGAGGCATTCAGAGGCAGCCCCCCCTTACACACGCGGCATTGTGTCCCGCTGCATCGGGGAGAGGTCCTGGCCCCAGGTCCCGGGAGAGCACGCAGCACCTGGGCTCTTCTGGCCAGGCTGCTGTCACCAGGCGCTGGAGGAAAGCCAGTGCATGGCCGGTCCAGTACAGGAATAACAAGGGCTCCACTGAGCCGCTGGACAGAAGGGCGGGCGGAAGGCCGCACTGCCTGCTGGGACTGGAGCTGGCGGTGGCTAGGGCTCCAGCCCCTGTGGTTTCTCAGGCAATTTGTTCTCCCCCAATGAGCCCCCAAACTCCTCCCAGCCTCCTGTCTGCCCCCCCTTCCCCAGGGCATTCTGCCTTTCTGGAGGGACCCCCGCAGCGCTCGGCACACCCAACACCTGTGTATATTGAGAGAGAGGCAAATCCTGTTCCCCAGCTGCCTTCCACTGTCGCCCTGCAGGGACCACCTCCTAGAATTCTCACAGAACTCACTTCCTGCCCCGAGAGTTCTGCTGTGGATCTCAGGAAACCCCAAGTGGACCCAGCCTCGCTAGGCGGGACACATACTCAGTACGCGGCCCCACGGCCTGCTCCGGCCTGCAGCAGCATGGACCTCTAGGGGGCCTCATGCTGCCCAGGCCGATGGTGCCCCTCTCCCCCACAGGCAGGTGTGGACAGGTGGTTCACCGCCACCAAGCCTCTGCCCTCTGCCCTTGGAGAGCAGGAGCCGCCCCTGCCTCTCTCGGGGTGAAAAGAGGACCACACAGAGCTGTGAAGCGGTCCTGTCCCTCCCCTCCTCCCTCCCTCACCCCCTTCTCCCTCCACTTCCTCTTTCTCCCCCTCCCTTCTTCCCTCCTCTCCTCTTTCCCCGTCTCCCTCCCTCCCTTCAGGTACACATCCTCACCTGTGCCCCAGTGGCTTGGCACAGAATGCCTGATCCAGTGGTGTCTGTGCTTGTTCAGAGCGCACCTAGCCCTGCCTGGACCTGGAGAGTACTGGGGCCGGCGGCCTTGTCCATGGCTACAGCCAGCCCTGGGACGCCACCACACCCCTCCCGGGATCCCTTTTCTCCATCTGTTCATTCTTGTCCTTTTTTACCACGCAGAGATCTCCCTTGAAGTCGGCTTCTGGTGGATTCCATTTACACACAGGTGTTACCTTTGCGCAAAAGCCATTAAGTTCCCGCCTCTGCCGCCGAGATGACCGGTCCGCCCTCGGCCCCTTGTCCTTTCCAGGGAGCCCACGGGGCTGTGGCTTCTGAAAGGCACTGACTCCCGGACCTTTCTGTGCACGGCCGCTCTTACTAGCACTTAAATCCTCATCCACTCAGAGTTTGGAAATGCCCGGATTTCATTCCGCCTTCACCATGAAATGTTATTTACTTGAGTTTGTGTTTCATCTTCATGCACAATAATGTCCTAAGTTCACAGAAAACAGGAATTCCGTGGGGAGTCAAGCCCCCGGCGGGTTTCTTGTGTCTGGAGGAGGCTGAGGAGCGGGGAGCCTCCTTTCCACCCCAGAGGGACCCTAGAGCCAGCAAAGGCCGTGAGGGGTGAGCGGGGGCAGGCAGCGCTCCAAAGGCTGGCTGGGGTCACTGAGCGCCATGTTTGAGAACCGGCCTTCTCCTTACCATCCACCTGCAGACGGAGGCCGCCCAGGGCTCGGATATCAGCCTCGCCGGCCAGCACCGCAGAACACACGGTAAAGCGAAGCCCCAGGTGCAGGTAGAGCATCCAGCTGCCCGTTGTCCGGGCACACTGGTTCCAACTGGGGGAGAGGGGGTCACAAGGCCCAGGAGCACCGCTCTGCCGGATGCCTGGGACAGATGTGCACGGGGTGGTGAACCCCAGAAGCGGCACCCAGGAGGGTGTGTGCTGTAAGGATCCACCCCCACTCATCCAGAGTAGCTGGGACACCGGACAGGAAGATGGAGGTGGTATCCTCCTGTGGCTGGGGAGACTGTGTGGACAGGAGCACAGAGAGGAGGAGCGAACGCAGACAGGCCCTGGTCTGACCCAGATGCTGCTCCCAGAGGTTTCACATGGCATTTCCAGGCCTCAGCAGCCTGCTGGTGCCAAGGGGAGCCCCATGAGTTGTACTGAAAAAGGAGTGAGCCGGGTGCTGGTAGCTCATGCCTGTAATTGTTGCTACTCAGCAGGCTGAGACCTGAGGATAACGGTTCAAAGCTAGCCTGGGCAGACAACTTCACGAGACCCATGTCTTCAATTAAGTAGCAAAAATCTAGACGTGGAGGTGTGGCTCAAATGGTAGAGTACCAGCTGTGAGCAAAAATAGCCAATGCTAGATTGTGAGGCCTTGAGTTCAAGCCCCAGTACTGGCGCGCACGCGCATACACACACACACACACACACACACACGCACACACAGCATTAAATAGAATAAAAAGATGGATTTCTAGTCAAATGCATAGATGAGTGAATTCTGAGGGGAGTAAAAATAAAGTCTGCTTTGCTAGGAATGAACTATTTTGATCGCCTCACATCTGGAGATGGCACGGTTTGTGAACCGCATGCTCGGCATTTGGCAGGCACACAGCGAACGTGGTTCAGATACAAATCCTTGCGATTCGGCGTGGGTTTAGTTCCTATCCCAAGCAGATTTCTTTGTAGATTTGTGTCTGCTCACCCGGTAGCTCATGCACTTCCACTGGGAATGGGCCGGGGGGGGGAGGGGGGGGGGGTCCTCAGGGAATTTGTGTCTCGGCCTGGGCATGTGAATGGGAGAGGGAAGACTCCGGATGGTGGGACAGGTTTTGGAGTCTGCAAAGCATCACTCCCTCTGCTGGACACATGGAGGAAGTGTAGCTCTGTGTGAGTCTTGCCCGCCTGGGTGTTGAGTAGAAGGAAATAATCTTGTCTTTCTCAAGGGTGTCGGCTCCTCTGTCATCTCTGAGCATCTGGAGAGGAGGGTGATCGAATTAATGCGTGAGGTGAGGAGAAATTTTGCAACCTGGACTTCTGATCTCCGGAGTTGTCTTAAGCCAATTCATCCTCCCCACCCAACCTCTCTGTAATTAACTCTAGTGTGTGAAAGTATCATGGCAGCATAAACAAAAGGGAATTTTATGTTTAAAGAAAGGCAACATGTGAAGGATGCACATCGCTTTCCCGAGGACCCAGGTCACACTTTCCAGAGGTTCGGACTTGTATCTCCCACAGTCCTGGGTGAAACACAGCTCCTCCAGCCTGGGTCTAGACCAGTCCCTCACCCTCCTGGGCCTCTGGGAAGCTCCAGTAAAGGGCCTGGCACACTGTGGGTGCTCATGCAGGATACAAGAGCTATTTGTGAATATACGACTCACTAGCATATTATGGAATGTACAGCTAGGCAGACGTGTATCATAGTCGAGATTCACGCACTGTGCTGTTTGTATGTTGTACATGAGCAAAAAGATGTAACCGTAGAGGAGTTTGAAATTCACAGATTATAAAAATCAAACAGAATTTTCAAAAATAAAGTAAAAATAATTCTAGCTAGGCGCCCGTGGCTCATGCTGCAATCCTAGCTGCGCGGGAGACTGAGACCTGAGACTCCCAGTGTGAAGCCAGCCCAGGCAGACCAATCCTTCAGACTCTTGTCTCCAACTATCAAAAGCCAGAAGTAGAGGCGCAACTCACATGGTAGGGCACCAGCCTCGAGCGAAAAAGCTAAGTGAGGGAGCCCAAGCCCTGAGTTCAAGCTCCCGTCCCCACACTAAAATAAACAAACAAATAAATAGTATGAGCTTGGAAATAAAACAAGGAGAGATGTGAAGGAGCTCATTGGCAGTGCTGGGCTGCTCTGGCTGATAGTTTTTGTTTTGTTTTGTTGTTGTTGTCGTTTTGTGGGTCCTGTGGCTGGGGCACTGTCTCTCAGTTCTTTGGCTCAAGGTGAGTGCTCTACCACTTGAGTCACAGCACCATTTCTGGTTTTCTGGTGGTTCCTTGGAGATAATAGTCTCACGGACTTTTGTGCCCCGGCTGGCTTTGGACTGTGATCCTCCTGAGTAGCTAGGATGACAGGCGTAGGCCACCAGTGCCCAATGTGGCTGATAGTTTTACTTTGTGCCCATAATAGTTCTGCCTTGGTGGTGCTGCTCACTTAGAGATGCTGAGATTCACGCTCGTCCCAATGCCCTCCTTTGTACCGGTGCTGGCGTCAGCCTGAGGAGTGAGTGTTTGAGGCCCTGGCCCATTTGTCCCTTCCTGCCTGGTCCCTGCAGGAAAGCGCTGCCCGTGGCTGGGCACAGAGCCCTGGGCTGCCGGTGCCCTGCGCCCCAGCTCCCGCCACAGCCAAGCTAGTCAGCACCAGGCCTCAGCAGGTACCACTGAGGTTTGGGGGACCTGACCCATCCCAGGGCCAGAACGTTCTCGGTCTCATCAGAGAAGGCACTGGAGGAGTGACCCACGGGAGTCTGAAGCAGGAGCAGGTTCACGCGCACAAAGGAAGGCAGACATGTGCTTCCTAGGTGGGCAGACCACAGAGGAAGGGCTGCGTGGGGGTCGCGCCTCCTCACGCTGTACTGGGGTCTGGAAAGAGGACTGTGGTGTCCCCCACCGTCCGCCGTGTCGGCGGGGCGCGTGCACGCGGGCGCTGAGCCGGGCTGTCGCTGTCTGTGGCCGCCGAGGGGCTGCGGGTCAGCCGGACCCTGCTGTGTGTCGCTCCTGGTGTTAGCACCACGGGCCAGGAGAGCATCAGGTTTCCTAGCTTGCTGCCTGCGCCCTGTCTCAGTGGCCGTTCACCCCCACCTCCCACGTACACACCCCCCCGGGGCTGCCGGGGCCAAGGTCTCTGAGCCATCCTGTCTCTTCCAGGTCCGCCATGGAGCCTTTCTGTCCGCTCCTGCTGGCAAGTGTTAGCTTGCCCCTCGCCAGGGCTGGCAAGAGCAACGAGACCACCCCAGCGGAGAGCAACTGGACCAGCACGACGGCAGGTAAGGCCGCCGCTCACCTGAGCTCACCCATCCGCTCCTCCCCTCCCCAGCAACGGGGGCCTCACACGGTGAAGTAGAAAAGAGAAGGAAGGTAAGGCTGACTCTCACCGCGCTGCAAGTGCTGGTTCAGTGTCTCAATGAGGCTGGTTCACACGGCAGTCTGTGAGTGGCCAGAGAATAAAAGGGGTAAATATCTCCAAAAATTGCTAGGCTTGGTGGCTCATGCCTGTAATCTCTGCAGTTGGAAAGCTGAGGCAGGAGAATTTCAAGTTCCTGACCAGCCTGGCTACAAAGTGAGACCCTGTGTGCTAAACAAATTAACCCCCCCCCACACACACACACCAAAAAAATGACAGTGTGGAACCTCCTTCCAGCCAAGGCCAGACACTGAGCAGCAGGTGTGAATGTGAACACTCACGGGATAATTCAGCGTGGAAGTGAAGGAAATGATTGTTGCTGGGTGCTGGTGGCTCACACCTGTGATTCTAGATCCTTATGAGGCTGAGAACAAGAAGATCATGGTTCAAGGTGGCTGGGGCAGAACAGCCCATGAGAGGCCATCTCAACAGAAAAGGCTGGGCGTGATGACCCGGTCAGTCACCCACTACAGCGGCAGCCTCCAGTGGGCGGACTCTAGTCTAGAGGCTCAGCAAGGGGGGAAGCGAGACGCCATCTCGAAAGTAACCCGTGGAGAAAGAGTTGAAGGCATGACGCGGTGGTAGAGTGCCTCTCCAGAGCTCACACCCCAGTGCGTGTGTGTGCGTGTGTGTGTGTGCGTGTGTGTGCATGTGTGTGCTCGTGTGTGTGTGTGTGTGCGTGTGTGTGCGTGTGTGCATGTGGGGGGGGCAGGGGGGGACAGAGACAGAGACACAGAGGGAATGAGAGGTTGTTACTATTGGAACTAAGACATTGGCAATGGTAAGCTTTATCTTTTCGAGGTGTTGGCAGTCATCTCCAGAGTGCTGGGGTGTGAGCTGGGAGGGACAGGAAGTGGGGAGGCCCACAGGCCGCAGTGAGCCATCTTCACGAAAAAGTTAGGGTAGAAACATGGGTGGGGTGTTTTCCTTCACCTTTTTATAGCGTGAAAGTAAAAGGGGAGGAAGGGCAGAGCGCACTGGCTCGGGGGGCAATCTGCGGGACCACCGGGACAGGGTTGCACTGATAGGAGGTGTTCGGTGGCCTGGTGGCCTGGGGGACGGGGATGGGGACAGGAGCGATAGCAGGAGTGTGTTTAGGGTGCCAGGAAATGGTTTTGGTGAGAGTTGCACAATGCTTGAATTTACTTAACATCATTAGCTTAAAATGGATGCATGTTCTGATATGGAAACTTACTCCAATCAAGTGAATCAGTGCTACTTGAAGTTGAAAGGAGGAGGAGGAGGAGGAGCAGGAGGAGGAGGAGGGTGAAGAGCACGGTACTGCCCTCCTTCAGATTCCATCTGCACCCCTTGTGGGCTGAGCTGCCTTGGGGAATGGCCTGACTGCACCCCGGGTGCTGTGTGGGGTGCTCTACCGGTACCCATGCTGCACAGTGCGGTGAGTGTTACATACGCAGCATCGGCCAGTCACTGGCAGCCAGGAGCACTGACTCCCCAGACTCCGCATGAACCTTACCGTGGACCCTGCATCTGTGTGGAGGGCGCGGACGGGCCAGCTCAGGGTCCCCATGGAGTGCCTTTGGGTTCCCTAGGCAGCACCTACATGTAGCTCCTTCACTCCACCCCCACCCCCAACCTGACGGCCACCCTGTGGCTGCAGCGCCTCCTGGTGGACTCATCAGGAAGAGCCGGCCAGCACCAAGGTTGATCCCTTCCCCTCCTGCCTCTCCCCACATACTGCTCCACCCCACAACTAGAAGGGTGACAAGTCATGGGACTTCCGGGCAGGGCACCTAGAAGACACAAATAGAAATACATAAGAATGTGTTTATTTCAAGGAATTAAAATTTTATGAATATTATTATGAGATACATATATATATATATATATATATATATATATCTTTATTGGAAAGTAGCTTGTGCAGTAATGGAGTCTGGCAAGTCCAAAATCATTGCACAGTGACACACCACAGTTTGATCCCCAAGCTGGCAGACGGCAGTGGAACCAGGAAAACCCAAACATCAGAGTGAACAGGGTGTCCATCTGGAGAGCCCCCTCCTACCAGGCAGGTCAGCTTTTTGTTCTGCTCAGACCTTTGCCTGATTGGGCAGGGCCCACCCAATCGGGAGACAGACCATCTGTTTGATTCAGTTCATGAATTCAAATTTAATTTCATACAAAAGAAAAAAAAAACCTCCCAGCCACAGTCAGAATGTTAGACAAAATACTTGGGCAGATATAGTCCAGGCAAGTTGACACATAAAATTAATCATCATGCTTGGACCTTGTAAAGCTTAGAGAAGACAAAAACCAATCATCTTTCAACAACAACAACAAAAAACTTGCTAGAAAAAGAAACAAAAACAAAAACTGGAAGTCGGTGTTGTCCAAGCCCAGTCAGGAGTTTAAAAGCTCCAGCCCAAGGGCTTCACCTGAGTTCCGGGGTGAAAGTCCTGAACACAGCAGTGATTCTAAGAGGTTTGCCTGCTGGGAGAGCAGCTCCAGGGCCCTGCGCCCGCCTCACACCGCTGACACCCAAAGAAAACCCACAAGAAAGAAAGGCCATGGCTGCGGCCCACAAGCTGTGTTCTGCACGAGCCTCTGCCGGCAGCTGTGGTGTCTTGTGTCCTGGACACCCTCAGCCCTGAGGACAAGGAGTAGCTGGCCGGGCAAGCGAGCTGGCTGCCCCGCGCCCAGGCCCGAGGGCCCCGCAGTGGAGAGCTTCCACCTGCAGGCCTGACTTTCCTCACTGGCATGAGTCACCTGGCCATTCGGGGAACCTAGAAACTTGTGAGGATGCGCAGGCCACGAAGCAGGTCAGGCCGGGTCCGGAAGCAGCAACATGACATACCTCCACTTTCTACTTCACCTGAAGAGAAAACGATCCTTTCACAACACTGCCGTGGATGTGGCTGTGACCTTTAGGCTCGGACGTGTGACCTTGGCACCCAGAACAGAACGGAAAGTGAAACGACCCTGCAGCAGCGTCTTCCGGGGCCTCCCTAGGCTGGGCAGCAGCCACCATCCCACAAGCAAGAGAGGCCGGCGGGGCCTGGGGGGAGAGGTGCGGGCAGCGCCTAAGGCTGATAGCGCCCAGGGGACCTCTGCGGTGTCCCGAGTTCCCGGCGTGTTGGCAGCGAGTCACTCCAGGGTGCCAGAGCTACAGGAGACCATTTCCCTCGCTCAGGAAACAAAACGAGCCGGTAGTCATCCTGACATGTGTCTTCTGACCTCCGCCACAGGTGGCTGAGGCCAGGGGCAGCAGGCGGGGCGTGGGACAGTGGGACCTGGGACCCGTCACTTCCTCCCGCACGCTTGGCCCTCCAGGGATCGGGTTGGGTGGCAGAGAGGGACCAGAGTACGGCTGGGGATCACGGCCTTTCGAATACACATGACTGGGGGAGGCTGGGGTGCGAGTGGGGAATCACAGGGCGTTGGAGTCCTCGGGGGGCTCGAGCATCCTCCGGGGGCCGGGCTGATGTTGGAGGAGCTGCGTGGTGCCCCAGGGGCTCGGGGGCTGGGTGTCTGCGGGGGCGGAGGAAGGGCAGGCTGGCACGGGCAGAAGACACACGGTGAGCAGGGTGTCCTGAGGCCAGGCCAGCTTTCTACTGCTCTTGCCACTTGGAGGAATCAGAGTTGCAGGTCCTAGGAAGCTGGCTGATGCCGTGCAAGGCCTGTGCCCAGCCCCGGGGCAGACGGCTCCCTGTGTGTGGAGCTCCTGCCCAGCCGACAGGACCGTCCGGGAGGGGCTGCAGAGCAGGCTCAAGGCTGTGCCCGCACCCTGTCCCCTTCTACCTCCTCTTTGTAGAAGATGCAGGGCTGTCAGAGAACAGGCACCAGCCAGGGCTCACGCTTGTGGTCTGGGGAACTCACCTGTGTGTGCATTCCCCACAGATGTGTGTGTGTGTTCGAGGCTTTGCTCTACCACTTGATCCACGACTCTACTTCTGGCTTTTGGTGGTTAATTAGAGATAGCAGCCTCATGGACTTTCCTATCCAGTCTGGCTTCAAACTAAGGTCCTCAGCCTCCGAGAAGCTGGGATCACAGGCATGAGCCGCTGGTGCCCGGCCCCCCCAGTATCTTGGGCATGCCCCAAACTGCTCCTCAGCACCAGTTTTCCCAGAATCCACAGCCACAGCAAACAGCATTTGTTCCTCACCACACCACGGTGCATCCCGTGGGCCAGAAGGGAGGGCTGCTGTGCATGCCCAACAGGGGGCCTGCCCCGGACAAGGGACCCATGGCGGGCCGACACCGCAGGCCGGGCTGAGTGTCCTCCCCCCTCCTGCCCAGGGTGCTGATGGGACTCCCCTTCCCGCCTGCAGGACCCCCGGACCCCGGCACCTCCCAGCCCCTGCTCACCTGGCTGCTGCTGCCGCTCCTGCTCTTCCTCCTCTTGCTCCTCCTCGCCGCCTACTTCTTCAGGTAGGAGTGTCCCCTGGGCGCTGACTTGCCTGGACCAGCTTAGATGAGGAAATGAGCCTTGAGGCTGTGGACACCGCCCAGACACCACTGGGTCCGCCAGGTCCTAGCACTGCTCAGCCATGAGCAGCAGAAAGAGCTTTTCCCGGCTCACCTGGTGGGTACCCCCACACCTGGGGCTGGGGGCTCCCCAGAAGCCTGTGTGTGCTGCCCTCTAACGCATCTGTGCCTCTCAGGTTCCGGAAGCAGAGGAAAGCGGCGGTGAACAGCAACGACAAGAAAATGCCTAACGGGATCCTGGAAGAGCAAGGTACGTGCGCACCCCTTCGGCCGGGGCGCCTCTGCCCTGAACACTTCCATGTCCAACTCCTCCTGCTCGCAGCTGTCTAGCTGACAGTAACTGCTGCTGTGGACCATAGCGTGTCTGTATTTCAAAGCCATTTTTTCCCCCTCCATTGTGAAACGGATGTCTGACACACTCCAGTTTGCGGCTTCGGGGCTGTCCGTATCCTGTGTTTTTTCATGGGCTTTGAAATCATTTTATCGTAAGACTCCCTGGTTTTCCTCAGCCAATGTGCTCAAACTTTAGATTGTTTTAAGACTGAGCTGAAAGGAAGGAAATTGCTCAAGTGCTTTCCCGTCTGGGTGGATCAGAAGTGGCTGCAGGCGTTTGCGAGGGTTAGATTGGAGTTCAGGCCCTCATGCTTCTTAGGGAGGCAAATTCTATTTCCCCGCTGTGAGAGACCCGAGCCGGGGAAGCCGGGAAGGCAGAGGCTCTGAAAAGAACTGGCTGGTTCACACCAGTGACTACAATTTCCTGTCGTGGGCTTCCTTCCTGTGTAGCTCGGGGAAACCTCAGCTGAATCATATGTGAGTGTGTGTGAGTGTGTGTTTCTAAGGCAAAGTTTAAAACTAATCCAAGGCAATAAAAGAATATCCCAGCAACGCACGTGCGCACATGCACGCACGCACACGCACATGCACACACATATGCACACACACACATGCTCACACAGAGGACTTAGCTATGACATGTTCTTGCAGGGCCTGGAGGTCTCATGTCCCTTGTTGGATAGTAATGTGGGCCCAGTGCCTGCTCTGTTCCCTGCTCTGTGTCCTGCTCTGTGTCCTGCTCTGTGTCCTGCTCCATTCCCTGCTCTGTGTCCTGCTCTGTGTCCTGCTCTGTGTCCTGCTCTGTGCCCTGATCTGTGCCCTGCACATCCCAGCTGCCAGCCCAGGCGGGAACTCAGAATGGGTGGTGAGGGCCACGGAGAAGGTGCAGCCACACTCCCGGCCGAGCTGTCTGTCAGGGAGGAGGGAGCCTGCAGGGGAAGCTCATGGCTGGACCCAGCGAGCTCTGCAGGCTGGGTGATGGCCTGTCCCTCAGCCGGCCTTGTCAGCAGAGCGCGCTCCCCAGGCCTTGGCTTTGCTTGCCCGTCACGGCTCCAGACTTGTGGAAGCCATTTGTCCAAGCGCCTTGCAGCCCCACCCCCAAACAAGGATGGGTTCTCACATTGGGGGTTTGTGTGAGGAAGCCGCATGATGCGTGACACAGAAGAGGAGGCCGAGAGAGATGCCTGCTGACAGACCCACCTGTGTTCTGAACTTGCTCTTCTCCAGTTCTGGCCCTGGAAACCAGCGCCTTGCAGACATTGCAGAGGCTGGAAGGAAGGGCAGGCTGCTTGGCATGGGGCGGGCACAGAGGACAGGGCTGGCCGTTGTTTGCGGAGGCTGAGAAGCCAGGTGGTAGGGTCTGTGCTCAAGGCCTGCTTAGCCAGTGGCTGGGGCTCCGTGGTGAGGAGACGTGCCCCCCTTCCCAAGCGGCTGGCCAGTCTGGACAGCGAAGCACGCGGGAATGGAGCTGTGTATTTGCCCACCTCATTTCTTCGGCCCCCACAGAGCAACAGCGGGTGATGCTGCTGAGCAGGTCCCCTTCCGGCCCTAAGAGGTACTTCCCCATCCCCGCGGAGCAGCTGGAGGAGGAGATCCGCGTGCGCGCCGCGGATGACTGCAAGCGCTTCCGAGAGGAGTTCAATGTGAGTTGTGGGGGAGGACAGCATGACTGTCCAGGGTCACTGTCCCCCAGACTGGGCTCCCGTGACACACGCTAGCCACAGCACAACACTTCCGCCTTCCTCTGTGTATGTGGCACTGAGCAGTGAATCCAGGGCTTCAAGCATGCTAGGCAAGCACTCTACCACTAAGACACCTTCCCAGCTGTATGCTCAGCCACCTGCAGCTTTGATCAGCAGCTTGGGATGGGATCCAGGGGCACCAGCTTAGGCCTGTGAAGTGGAGCAGGGTCTGCTTCTGTTTGGGACAAGTTACCCCACTCTCTGAGGCCACGCCTCCCCCCACCCCGGTACAGCCCATTACAGTAAACGAGTCTCCTCACTTTCAACACAAAACTCAAGAGTGGTCTAGTAACCCTCCCCCTATATCCGTAAGTTCTGGATTTAATGTCTTGGGATTTCTGAGGCTGGGCCAGGTGGAGGCAGGTAGGTAGACACACACAAAAGGGTTGTCTTGGATTTCTTCTTGGCATTGTCCAGCTCTGATTTGGGGTTTGGTTGAGTATCCTCATCTCTTGTGTGTGTGTGTGTGTGTGTGTGTGTGTGTGTGTGTGTGTGTGTGTGTATGTGTGTGCGTGTTATATGTGTATGTGTGTATGTCTCTGTGTATGTGTGTGTGTGTGTGCATGTGTGCATGTATGTCTGCGTGTATGTGTGTGCGTGTGTGTGTGTGTGTGTGTGTGTGTGTGTGTGTGTGTGTGTGTGTGTGTGTGGCACTTCCCAGGCTTCAACTCAGGGCCTCCCATTCTCGCCTGGATTTTTTGCTCAAAGCTGGTTTGCTCTACCACTTGAGCCATACCTTCTCTCCTGGCTTTTTGCCGGATAACTGGAAATGAGAGCCGTGCAGATTTGTCTGCCTTGGCTAGAGTTTCAGACCTCAGCCTCCTGAGCATCTAGGATTACAGGTGTGAGCCACCGGCTCTTTGTCTTTGGGTGCGTGGCTGTGTGCCGAGTTTGAGGCTGAGAGAGGCTGACACCCTCAGGACGCCATTTCATTGAGTTCCGACTTGGGCCCCTCCACCGTCTTCTCCCGGCCACTTCCGCCACCCATGAAGGGGCCTGGGGATGGGTCTGCCTTAATGGTCTCACAGCACAGGTGTGAGGTGTGGACAGTGGCTTTCAGACACTGCAGGTGTTTGTTTTACACAGCGAAGGCGCGGGTTCCTGCACACCTGGGATTCTTCCCCGGACACAACCCGTGAGTGCACAGCAGAAGGCCGCCATTCCAACCGCACCGCGCTCACTTTTCACACAAACTTCACTGGCATTTCTCTTGCTTCCCCTTTGCTGTTTCCAAATGTGCCCCCCCCCCCCGCCTTCTTTCCTTTTTATTTAGAAATTAGGTCATATTGAAAGACAGCTCCAGGCACTGCTGTTTTGCAATCTCTTGGCTTGCCAAGAGAAGTTAATTTTCCACTTTCAGAATAACCATCGGTATGTGCAGCGACAAGCTCTTGACCTCCCCCCCCCCCAGGCCTGTCCCGTTTCTCTTCCACTTTTTATCCCCTGTGCAGGGGATGGGGGCTGGGCCCCCGAGCAAGGGCCATGCCCTGGAGGGAGGCTGAGAAGCCAGCCAGGTACTTGGCCCACATGTAGAATTCCAGAGGGCATCAGAGCATTTGGGAGTCAGGATAAATCATGTTTTAATGCACCATTTAAAAAATACTGAAATTAGGGGCTGGGAATGTGGCTTAGTAGTAGAGTCCTTGCCTAACATGCATGAAGCTCTGGATTCAATTCCTCAGTACCACATAAACAGAAAAAGCTGGAAGTGACACTGTGGCTCAAGTGGTAGAGTGCTAACCTTGAACACAGAGAGGCTCAAGGACAGTGCCCAGGCCCTGAGTTCAAGCCCCAAGGCCAGCAAATAAAAATAAATACTGAAATTAGCTAGGCACCAGTGACTCATGCCTGAAATCTTAGCTACTCAGGCAGCTGAGGTAGGAAGATCACTGTTCAAAGCCAGCCTAGGCAGAAAAGTCCATGAGACCCTTATCTTCAATTAACCACCAAAAATCTGAAGTATTGCTGTGGCTCAAGTGGTAGAGCACCAGCCATAAGCATAAAAGCTAAGGGATGGGCAAGGCTAAGACCCTACGTTCAAGCCCTAGCCCAACAACAATCAAGTATTAAAATTAATGCAGGTCATGAATGATGAGTAAAACAGACAATTGTAAATAAAGTCAGGGTCAGTGTGATAGGTTTTTCCTATTTTCCTGGATTTCAATATGATTCCCATGGCAGAATCCAATAAGCTTTCTTCCACGATTGAAAAGCTCCGCTCATTATGGATTTGTCACATCAAATGGGGTTTTTCAAACAATACATTGCATTAGACACTCATTCTCTTCATCCCTGAGTTCTGCACCCTGGACACACTCCTCGTGCAGCTCACCTGTCTGCCCTGCCTCTGCAGCCCCTTGGCTGTGTATCTGAGCCCCAGCCCTGTGTCTGCTGCAGGGAGACAGGGACAGGGTGCAGCCTCTGGAGCCTGATCTTTCTGTGTCTGGTGAGGGCAGCCCTGGTCGAGGCCCTGGTTCTGCACTTCTGTCTTCTGAGAGCGCCGGGGCCTGCAGGCCCGGCCATCGGCTGCTCTCCTCGTGTGCTCCGAGGACATGCTCGGTCCCGCTTCCTTCTCTTTCCCTGTTTGCTGGTCTTATCACTTCTTCTAGCGTCTCAACCTGGTTCGCCCTATTGCACCTGTCCATGAGAGGTGAACTGGGGGACTGGGGTTGGGGTCATCAGAGCAGGGGGGTGGAGGGAGAGAGTCCGTCCCCCCCCACCCCGAGGGGACCTGTGGCTCAGTGCTCCCAGAGCCCCAGAGCACTTGCGGGTGTTGTAGATAACCGTCGCAGCCCAGGAAGGGCCCCAGAGGCCTCGCGTGTCTGACGAGCTCCCGAGCCCCGACACTGCTGGTCCCAGACACCCCCCAAGCCCCGAACAGAATCAGCACTGGGCCCGAGGACATTTGCTTCCCCTAGCTTCTCAGAAGCGCTCTGGGGATGCTCAGCAACCCCCCCCCCCCCATCTCAGCAGCCCTCCCTCCCTCATCTGGCTCTTCTGTCTCTCAAGTCGGAGCTCCATCAAGGCCAGTCCATCCCCAGTCTGCCTGGGACCCCTGCAGCCTGGGGTCTGCTGGGGTGTGGAAGGGGGCCCCCACCTTCAAACAGCGTCTAGCCTTGTGATCACACCCCATCTGCCCCACCAGACCAAAGACCCTGGTGGAAGCCGGGATCTGTGTCGGCGCCTGGGACAGGGTCTGAGGTGGAGACGGGAGATGGGCAGAAGGGGTCTGCTCTGAGACGTGTTGTGATTCTCGGCCTTGGTGGTCAAGTGTGGGAAAGCGGGCTGGGACCCCGCGAGCACTGAGCACTGACTCTCAATTGTCTTCCAGTCGTTACCATCGGGACACATACAAGGAACTTTTGAACTGGCAAACAAAGATGAAAACCGAGAGAAAAACAGATACCCCAACATCCTTCCCAGTAAGTTTTTCTTCTCTTCTGTATTATCTGTGGAGTTGGGACTAAACTTGGCTTTGCTTTGTAGCTCTTCCCAGACCGTGTTGGTGCTGAAAGCAGAGTTGTAGTGCTTAGTGCTTACAGGTCCCAGATCTTAGTGCTTATAGGTCCCCAGGTCAGTGGACTGTCTCAGTGTGTGCCCCTGGGGGACCTGCAGCTGGAGCCTCCCACCCAGGTGCCTAGACTCCTTTGCTGCTCAAATGGTTACCTGCTTGCAGGTAAGCCTGTGCTTGTGTAGAGGCCTGGGTGCCCAGGGACAAGAGGGCCAGGGACGCAGCCCTGGAGTGCAGGCAGGGTCCTCTTGAGCCCCTGGCTGGGCCACAGTGCCCTGGGTACCTCCCCTCCCGGCCACAAGCTTCAGCAAATCCCCAGTGTGCCCTGGGGTCCTGGGCCAAGGACAGCAGTGGCAGAACGAGGAACCCTCGGGGGCTTGGCACCGTGGCTGGAGAGCATTCCGGGGCAGTTCTGCGGAGCGTGGGGTGTGGCAGAGGTGGGGTGTGGAGGGCCGTGTGCCGGGCATCTCCGGACCCGCCGTAGCTTGCTGGGCTGTGCCCAACTCACCTCCACGACAAACCCACACTTTCGCAGCAGCTTTTGCACACTCTGGCCTACGAGTGACGGGTGTACAAAACCTTTCACCCAGCCTGGAGCCCACCCAGCCTGGCACGGACAGCCTTGACCTGTGGACTAACAGAACAGCGTCTTCCAAGGGCTTCTCCAATTCCCAGCCCAGGAAGGAAAGCGCAGGAAACTCTATCTCCAAAATAATCAACAAAAAAGCCAGACTGGAGGCATGAAACAAGTGGTAGAGCTCCAGCTGAGTAAGCAAACCAAGCAAGTACAGTCCCTGAGTTCAATCCCTAGCACAGGGAAAACTAAAAAGAGGAGTCAGAAGAAAAGAAAAAGAGAGAGAGAGAGAGAGAGAGAGAGAGGAGGAGGAGGAGGGGGGAGGAGGAGGAGGAGGAGGAGGGGGAGGCGGAGGAGGAGGAGGAGGAGGGGGAGGGGGAGGAGGAGGAGGAGGAGGAGGAGGAGGAGAAGCAGCCTTCGTGGCCCTCACTGCTGCCATCCCTACCACCCAGTACGGTGGAGACTGAGATGCGGTAGCTTGTGGTTCAAGACCAGACTGCACAAAAAAGATCCACAAGACCCCATCTCAACAGCCAGAGCTGGCTGTGGAGGTTACAGCTGTCATCCCAGCTATGTGGATAGCCTAAATAGGAGAGTGCCATCCCAGCCAGCCTCGGCAAAGTGTGAGACCCTGTTGGAAAACTTAAAGAGCAGTGGAGCATGGCTCCAGTGCCTAGCGAGCACAGAGCCCCGAGTTCAACCCGGTATTAGACAGTTCAGCTCCTCAGGAGGAGCAGAATCGACACTCCCCGCGTCCTCTTGCCAGTTGACCCCCTCTGTGGCTTGCACGTGGAAGTGTGTAAGGTTTGGAACCATTGTTCTGGGACCCCAGAGACTGTGCGCAGCATCCCAGGGGCTCACAGCGCTTGCCCGCATGGGTGGGGTCCCTCCAGGCCCCGGGGGTATGTACGGGGTGGCAGGGGGTCGGTTTGGGGCCCGTGGTGGGTTGGGGCTGAGGAAGAAGCAGGTCTGATTGCACCGGGCAGTTGGGTCAAAGCTGCATCCCGGCCGCCCAGGGAACAGGAGGTCAGGCTGGACATTAAGACACGAGCTAGTGACCCATGCCGCATTCCTAAGAAGCTCCCGACCATCTCAGCCGCGTCGGTGCTGGAGAGGAGAGTGCCCGCGGCGGGAACTGCAGGAAAGGACGTTTGGGAGGTGGTGACATTTTAGAATGAACACACACGTGCACATGCACACATGCACGCATACACATGCACACAGGCACACACATGCTCATGAAGCACTTACTGCCAGCCTCTCAGTCTAACCAGAGGCTGTTTTTCCCCCCGCTGTGATTTTCTAGCTGTCCTCAAAATAGAAGTCATTCCAAATTTTCTTCCGCCAGCCTGGCAGGTGCTCAGCCAGCCAGGGCTGTTTCTGCCATGGGGTCCTCCCGCCGGCTGTAGGTTTGGGATCAGCCACTGGCCCACCCCGTGGGAGCTGTGACTGACCCCACTCCAAGCAGGACAGATGCGGCTCAGCCAGGGGCCCAGACAGACCAGCAGCCTTGAGGATGAGGCCCAGCCCCGGCGCAGACAGCCAGACAGCAGACAGGACAGGAGGGGCGGGACTCTGACAAGGCAGGGAGTGGCACAGAGCCCCTGCCATACGGGCGGCTCTGGAGACGTCCAAGGCAGCGCTGCCCTGGGCTGGGAGTACCCACCAGGGCTGAAGGCAGGCAGCAGCTCCCTCTGCCCTGGAGGACCTGCCACCTTGCCTTTGGGGCCCTGGAATCAGCCCCTCTCTGAAGGAGGGAACAGCTCAGGCACACAGCCAGCCCGGCCAGCCCTGGGTCTCCTTCTGCGGAGTCCTGCTGCGCTGGGGCCAGGGTGGGGACAGGGAGCTTTGGGGGGCGGGGAGGAGGAGGGGCTTTCCCATGGCTTTTATGGATGGAAGGCCAGGGAGGCCCAGGTCACAGAGGGCCCAGCACAGACCCTGCCAAAGCCCTGCTGCACACGCATCATGCATGTCTGAACACACCTGTGTGTGCATCGTACACCAGGCACACATGCATTCCACACAGCACACCACGCACACATAGGTACCACATAACCCATGACACCTACTTACACCACATAACACACACAACCCGCCTCGCCATGAGCAGGCATGTCCCACCGAACACACGCAACACGCACCTACACCATACAACATGCGCAGCCTACCACACCACACACAGTTCACACAGCACATCCACACCGGGCCCAGCACAGACAGCACGCACCTCAAACCACAGCACATGCTGCAGCACCCCTCACGTAACTCACCACAATACACACAGCAGCTCCTCAGGACACACCTCGATGCTGTGCACACCTCCCCCACATCTACACACCACACGAGGCGTCTTGAACACAGACCCTCAGGGTCTGTGCTGTGGTCGCTCAGAGGCGGCATGCTGGGAGCTGAAGCCCTAGCTGTGGCCGTCCCGTGGCTGTGGTGCGGGCGGGTCGGTGGCTGTCCAGTGGCCGTGGTACAGGTGGGTCGCAGCTCAGTGAAACAGGGCCTTTGCACAACGTCTGTTCTAGTGGTCAGTAGTGCCGGTGAAGAGAGACCTGGCCTGCCGTCCCTCCTCCATCCCTTCACCCACGAGGGTTTGTCTCCTCCTTTTCAGATGACCGCTTCCGGGTGATTTTGAGCCAGGTTGATGGGGTTCCCTGCTCAGACTACATCAACGCTTCCTACATAGACGTAAGTTGGCCTTCTGTCCCCAGCCGGGTCAGAGCTGCTGCTTGGGGCAGGGAGGGCTCCGGGGTGATCAGAACTGCAGAAACGCGTTCACCACTTCTATAATTGTGGTCAAGCCAAGCCATATGTATGTAGGGAGCGCCTCTTAACACCTCATCTAGTTGGTCTTTAGAAGATCACTTACGGAAGCCATCAATTTCTCATTTAAAATGTAAAGATTTGTACATTAGCCTGACTAAAAATATGTGTTTTGTGCCTTTTTGTGTGTGCATGGGAAACGCTCTTTTTTTAATCTGTATTTTTCATTTGTTATTATAAAGGTGTTATATACAGGGATTATAGTTACATAAGCCAAGTCATGAGTGAATTTCTTCTTGGACAATGTCACGCCTTTCCATGCCCTCTCCCAGTGGGAAAGTTCTTTCATACACAAAAACACCAGAGCAGGGATATATGAACATAGCATTTGTCCTTTCTGTCATTGCTAGTTTCCTACCTTCTTTCTTTCTTTTTTTTTCTTGTGCTCCAAACTCTCTGGGTGAACATATATTTCTTTCCTAACAAGAAAAATATCTCATCAAGGTAATTTTTTGTGTTGGTCCTGGGGCTTGAACCTGGGACCTGGGTACTATCTCTGAGATTATTTTTACTCAAGGCTAGCACTCGACCACTGGAGCCACAGCTCCACTTCTGGCTTTTTGGTGGTTCCTTTGAGATAAGAGTTGCATGGACTTTCCTGCCCAGCCTGACTCCAAATCATGATCCTCAGATCCCAGCCCCCAGAGTAGCCAGGATTACAGGTATGAGCCACTGGTGCCCAGCCAAAGATAATTTTATTGATTGATTGATTGATTGATTTTTGTCAGTCATGGGGCTTGAACCCTGGGCCTGGGTACTGTCCCTCAGCTCTTCAGCTCAAGGCTAGCGCTCTACCACTTGGGCCACAACACCACTTCCTGCTTTTTCTGCTTATGTGGTGCTGAGGAATCGAACCCAGGGCCTCATGCATGTGAGACAAGCACTCTACCACTGAACCACCTTCCCAGCCCCCCAAAGATAATTATATAACTCTTATTTTTATTTTCCTAGGGTTACAAAGAAAAGAATAAATTCATAGCAGCTCAAGGTAAGCCTTTTATTAAGCTAGTGTCTAAGTGGTATTTTTATAAAGTAATGTGGATATCTATATACCAACAATGCCAATAACTTACATTGGGTTGTTTATGAGAATGGGTGTTAAACTCAGGACTTTGCACTTACTAGGCAGGTGCTTTACCACTCAAGCCACAACCGTAGGCCTTTTGCCTTTATTTTGTCACTAAGGACTTACATGGGTGCCCTGGAATGTAATCTTCCTATTTATGATACCCATGTAGCTAGAATGGTAGTTGCAAACTACTGCCTCCAGCTGTTGATTGAGATGGTGTTTTGCCTTTCTGCCTGGGCTGGCCTTGGCCTGTGATTCTCCCAATCCCTGCTCCCAAGTAGCTGGGATGACAGGCATTGTGCTGGAGTTTCACATGTGTGTGTTTCTGTGTCTGTTATATCGCATCACACTCTGGCTCTCTGTGCACACAATGGATACACACAGCCAGACATGAACACACGCAGGAACAGCAGCTCCCTCCGTCTCCAAGTCTGGCATCCTGAGGTTTGCATTCAACACACAACCTTGCTGCTCTCAGCCGCTGAGCTCCACGGGACTCTCAAGTTTAGGGGTGAGGGAATGAGTAGCTTTTTAGACCAAGATCATTGCCCAGATGCTTCAGCTGTGAAAACATCCTTAACCTGGCACACGGACCCCTCACCTAGCTCCAGCCTCCCGGCCCATGCGGCCAGGAGCCAGTGCTATGCACAGCTGGGGAGCAGTGTGGCCAAACTCAGAGCTCCCCCTTCCTCCTCTGAGACCCCAAGTCTGTAAGTGAGTTCCCCCATCCAGTGCCTGCCACAGTAGCCAGCAGCTCACAAATCCAGATTTCCTGGGAAATAACGAGGAGCTACCGTCCATGTGCGTGCACAGACGGGAGGGCGTCAGGGTACTTCAGCCCAGCCCACCATCAGCTGACGCGGACCGGCATCCAGGGGAAGGCAGCCCAAGGCTGCCACAGCAGCCCCAGGCCTGTCCCGTGACCCTCTGCAACAGGGTCACAAAATGACTGCTGCTGTTCCAGGAGCTGTGTTGTATTCATCCAGGCAGGAAGTGAACCAGGGCCAGGACTTTCTTGGAGTAATGATGATGCTCTTGTCTTCAGGTTTCTCCCGGGGACATCAGCTCCCACTCTATTGGATAGCTCTAAGCTGAGAGATTGAGAGTTTGATAAGGATAGGGCTGTAGACACGGAGTGAATCATCTCTCTCTCTCTCACACACACACACACACACACACACAAACGATCCCAAAGGCCCCCCCCCCTCTCCCCCCCCCCCCCCCCCCCCCCCCGTCACTCGTGGAGCTCTTCATCCACACGTGAACCGTGCAGAGCTGGGCTCCAAGCCAGACCCACCCAGAGCCTCAGGGAAGGTAAACGGCCGCCCAGGCTGGGTGCTGGGCCGAGGCTCTGACTCCACTCCCCGAGTCCGTGACCCTGGCCCTCTTGTCTGCCTGCAGGACCTAAGCAGGAGACGGTGAATGACTTCTGGAGGATGGTGTGGGAGCAGAAGTCAGCCACCATCGTCATGTTGACCAACCTGAAGGAGAGGAAGGAGGTGAGCGGTCGGCCCCCACCCTGCCTGGAAGCCCTCGGGGCTAGCCCCATCCCGTCCAAGCCCTTCCTGTACTCGGCCCCCATGCCCTGCAGCACTGTGCCTGGAAGTCGGTCTGTTTTCTGTGTTCCTGGATCCTCAGCTCCCGATCTGGAGCTCTGAGGAAGCCGGCCCGCCGCTTGTGGCGACTTCGGGGTAGGGGTTTACACTGTGTGGGGCACAGATTGGAGTGGGCCCAGCGACGGATGAACCCGACTTCCCACTCAGCATGGTCCACAGATCTCAACCTCCCGAGTGGCTAGGATCACAGTGTGAGCCATGACTTCATGCGTACCGTCCACGCTCACGGGATGCACCTGAGCAACTAGACACACCATGAACCCGACTTCACACTCAGCATGGTCCACAGATCTCAGCCTCCCGAGTGGCTAGGATCACAGGTGTGAGCCATGACTTCACACGTACCGTCCACGCTCACGGGATGCACCTGAGCAACTAGACACACAGGAGGATCGCTGTGCGCGGGCGCACCAAATGGCAGTCACAACCGAGAGCCCTCAGGATGCTTCCACGCCTCGCACTGCCGCGGCCTCTGCCCTGCTGGGGGCTGGGGGCCGGGATGGAGCTGGGCTGCGACTGGCAGGGGGCAGCCCTGGCAGAGCCGCCATAAACAAGGAGCTGGGTCTTCGAATGAAAGGCAAATTGGGAGCCCATGGCAGGCTTCCTCAGATGGGGCAACCCAGTTAGGAAAGCGTGCTTCTAGCATGTTCCAGCATGAAAGCTCCCACTTGATAGGAAGTAGCTGCCTGCCCAGCCCTTGCCCTGGAGCTAGCCAGGGCGGCTGGCAGCACCTGTGCCCCCTGACACGCGGGCCCCACAGCAGCAAGGCTCCGGGTGCAAATTCTACCTCCTGGTCCCGAGCAAGGTGGGCGTGCAGTTTGGGTTTCTCGGGGCCAGATCGCCTCACCGTGCGATCCCTGCCTTCATTCCTTGGTCACCAATGGAAAGAGTGACGGAGGCCTATGCCACCGTGTCCCCGCCCCTCCCCTGCCAGCACGGCTGTAGGAAAGCTGTGCTCCGGGCGTCCCCGAGGGCGTCTGCAAGCTTGAGGCGCGGCGAGGCCAGCGCCAGGCGCCAGGCCCGCCTCGCGGTCACGCGCGGCCCGGCATCGCCTCCACGTCCTCCCAGCCCCCCACCCCCACACCCCACTGCGTGTCTCCCCCCGTGACTCAGGGCTGCCTGTCCGTGCTCTTGGTGTCCACCCTTTCCGACGAAATCATTTCTTAAGCGACTTCCTCTTTCTCGGCGGCGGCCTCTCCCGCGTGCTCTGCAGCGCCCACATCCCCGGCAGCTCGTTATGAAATGCAGCTGGCATCGCGTAACCTGAGGGAGGCCGGGGTGCAGGCGCCCCGAACTCCGAGCTCCCCCGCCCCAAGGCTCACGGCAGGCCGGTGGGAGGGGTCCCCAGGGCAGGTTCTTCTGGCTGCAGGAGACGGCCCCTCTGGTCATCCTGGCAGGCACTAATGCTTTTGACTGTTAATCCTGAAGGCCTGGCCATGTTTTTGTGCCATTTCCAATTTCTGGGATAAACTGGGAGAGGTGTGGGGGGAGCACTCCAGAGACTTCTCCACGGAGGGCGGGGAGAGCATTCCCTCCCCAGGTGGGGCCCCCAGCGCTCATGGGGTCCAGGCTAGTGGATCGCCAGCTGCTAGTTAGGTACCAAAGCCACCTGAAAACCAAGGCCCCTGGCACTCGGCTTTGATTCCAGAGGAATCAAAGAGAGAATTCCAGCGGGGCACCGGTGGCTCACGCCTGTCATCCCAGCAACTCAGGAGGCCGAGGTCTGAGGATCATGGCTCCAAGCCAGCCTGGGCAGGAAAGTCCATGAGACTCTTTATCTTCAATGAACCACCAGAAAGCCACAAGCGGTACTGTGGCTCAAAGCAATAGAGTGCTAGCCTTGCATGAAAAAACTCGGACAGCGCCTAGGCCCTGAGTTCAAGTCTCATGACTGATAAAATAACTAAGTAAATAACTAAGTAAACGATCTGTCTGTAACGGCTGCCACTGTGCACGTTTTCCCTCTGGCCTTGCCCTGGTCAGCAGGCAGCGGACTCCTTAGCGCCACCCTGCCTCTCCCCTGAGCAGCCTGGCTCCGATGCGCGTGTGCTGCCGGGCTGGTGGGCACAAGGGTGGATACCGGGGTAAATATCTAGAGGGTGTGGGGCGATCCCTGCTCCAGCCTGAGGGTCATTTGGGGTGAGGTACCCCAGCTCCAAAGTAAGCATGCTCAGCGTGGCGGGGCACACCCACTAAGCAGGACATGGGCGCCCGCAGAGAGGGAGCTAGGGGTGGGTGTGGAACTGGGCTGTGGGGCGCCCCGGGCTGCGGCAGTGTGTAGTGTCCCCCTTTCCGCGTTTCTAAGGGGAGGAGGAGTGGAGACTCACCCATCTTTCTGTGTCCGTAACTTGCCCCCTGCAGGAAAAGTGCTACCAGTACTGGCCGGACCAGGGCTGCTGGACCTACGGCAACATCCGCGTGTGTGTGGAAGACTGCCTGGTGCTCGTGGACTACACCGTCCGCAAGTTCTGCGTTCAGCCGGTGAGCCGCCCCAGGCACTCCTCACGGAGCCTCGTCCTCTGCGGAGGCCCAGTCCAGAGCCGTCCAAGCCGGGCCGTCCTGGCGGGCTGGACTGCATGTCCACAGCTCCCACTGAGACACCATGGCGGGAAGCGGAGCTTGGTGCCCAGCTGGACTGGGCTGGGAACCCACGAACAGGAGTGTAGGGGTTGTAGGGGCTCCCCCAGAGGAAGCTGGCTCTGGACCAAGCCCCTCTAGTAGCACGGTGTCATTCACTATGCTGGACCTGGGAGGCATGTGTGCACCTGTGTATGCATGTGCATGTGTACATGTGTGCACCTGTGTGTGCATGTGTGTGCATGTGTGCACCTGTGTATATGGTTTTTGCCAGTACTTGGGCTTGAGCTCAGGGCCTCATGATCTCATTTGCTCAAGAATGGTGCTCTCCAACTTGAGCCACAGCTCCACTTCTGGCTTTTTGCTGGTTAATTGCAGCTGGCTGGAGCCTGGGTCCTCAGATCTAAGCCTCCTGCGTAGCCAAGATCCTAGGCATGAGCCACTGATGCACAGATTTTTTTTTTTTTAAGTTTCAAGATTATGTTGAAAACTCCCTTGTTTTGTTGTGTTTTGTGTTTTCATGTTGGTTTCCTCCCCGCAAAGAGAGTGAAGGGAGCCTCCAGTACAAATGCCCATAAACACGGGATGGAATAGGAGTGTGAGACATTTTAAAGCCAAGGGGAAAGCAGGTCATTTGTCAGGAATGAAAGGCAGAGGGTTGGAGGGATTATGCTACAGGAAACGAGCCGAGGCTGCCAGCAGCCACACGGGAGGGGAAGCCGGGCTGGGCGGGCTCCACGGGCAGCACTTGCCAGCACTGGCGAGTCCGGGGTGTGATCCCTGCCTGGACTGCACAAGTCAGAAGGAATTATGATCCTGCACTGGTTTATTTTCCTGATACACAGGCAACACATGTTCACAGCCACACACACACGCACGCGCACACACACACACAGGCACACACACACATGCACACACACACGCACAAGCACACACACACACAGGCACACACACATTGGCACATTTCCTCCCTCCCTCCCTCCTTCCTTCCCTCTCTCATTCTCTCATTGCTTCTTTCCTTCCCTCCTTCTTTCTTTTTTTCTTTTGGTCAATCATGGGGCTTGAACTCAGGGCCTGGGTGCTGTCCCTCAGGTCTTCAGCTCAAGGCGAGCGCTCTACCACTTGAGCCACAGCGTCACTTCTGGTTTTCTGGTGGTTTATTGGGGATAAAGTCTCACAGATGTCCCTGCCTGGGCTGGCTTTGAACCGTGATCCTCAGCTCTCAGCCTCCTGAGTAGCTCGGATGACAGGCGTGAGCCGCCGGCGCCCTGCCTTTCCTTCCTTTTTGGTTTTCATTCAGTTCCTGTGCTGTAGCCCGGGCTGGCCGGGCCCTCACAGTCTACCAGCCTCAGCCTCCCACGTACTGGTATTACAGATGTGCCCACCACACCCAAACACGCTCCTACAGAGACTGTGGAGAGCTTCCGAGGGTGGGCTGGGGCAGCTCTCAGGAAGCGCATGGGTGGTGGGGCCCAGAAGTGGAGGGAGGCTCTGAGGGTCTCCAGCGCTCGGGCTGACCCGCTGTCTGTCCCGCACGAAGGGAGCTGCTGTTGGCTGCTATGGGAGCGCGGGAGTGGGGGGTCTGGGTTGCAGAGGGCAGCCCTTCCTCACCGGCCTGAGTGTGACTCGAGGCTGCGGGCGCTGCGCGGCTGCGCCAGGCCACACGCTGGTGGCGCTCAGCCCGGCCGGCACCGCAGCCCCGAGCCTTTTAGGGATTGGGGGGGGGCAGCAGAAGGTGGCTCCGCCCCTGATGTTTCCGGGGTGTCTCCCGCAGCAGCTGGCCGAGGGCTGCAAAGCCCCTCGGCTGGTCTCCCAGCTGCACTTCACCAGCTGGCCGGACTTCGGAGTGCCTTTCACCCCCATCGGGATGCTGAAGTTCCTGAAGAAAGTGAGGACCCTCAACCCCTCCCACGCCGGCCCCATCGTGGTGCACTGCAGGTACTGGGGGGGGGGGGGGGAACCGTGCTGCTCGTGGGGGGAAGGGCAGGGGAGCAGTGTCGAGGTGGACCGAGGGACCCAAGCGCAAACACACAGCTCCCCACCTGCCGCTCAGCGCCCTGTGGGAAGAGCTGGCAGAGGCCCTGGCCCAGAACCCCTCCTCATGGGCATCTGAGGGGAGCCCAGGTCTAAAGCTGCTTGAAAGGAGAGCCGCTCTGGGCAGGTCCACCCGCCTGGCCCTCTGAGTCCCTGGGGTTCTCTGTGTGTCCCAGGCCCGCCCCCTCCCCCCCCCCACACACTTTCCAGGAGGGAGCTGGAGGAATCCACCTGCCTACAAAGCCCAGTGGGGTGGGATCAGTTACTTGGCCTGCAGCGCCCTCTGGTGGCCCACATAGGGTTGTTCCTGTTCACCCAAGTTGACCAGGTCACATTGGTGCAGGCAGCATCCTGGGTCCTGACGGGGGTGAGGGGGGGAGGGGGGGGGGTCGTCTCTCCAGAGTTGTCATTTACATGAGGGGAATGTGACTCACAAAGTGGCACCTTCTCTTTCCAAAGTGCGGGCGTGGGCCGGACGGGCACCTTCATCGTGATCGACGCGATGATGGACATGATCCATTTGGAACAGAAGGTGGACGTCTTTGAGTTTGTGTCTCGCATCCGCAACCAGCGGCCTCAGATGGTACAGACGGATGTGAGTGCCGCCCCTCCCACCGGGGTCTCGGCCTAGCACAGTCCAGGCGTCTTCCTCCCTCCCTGCAGCCCTGGTGTTCATGGGTGGGTATCCCGGGGGAAAAGAGCCTGCCTGGTGGAGGCCCGGGGTCCCTCCTAGTCCGCCTCTTCCTCCCTCCGGCCCTCATGGGCCCCCTGGCCATTGTCCTTCATATCCTCAAGGCCGTGGGGGTGTTTTCTCCGGGATGGTGCCTGGCAAGCCCATAAATAGCAGCTGCTATAGGCATCTTTCCGTGGGGACCTTGAATCCAACCCTTGCTCTGATTCACCTTCCACTGGACAAAGCAGAGAACACCTCCCCCCCCCCCCCCCACCTGGGGGCCTGGCCCAGGGCAGAGTCGAGGTTCCGGCCTGCTGCCCTGCAGGTGCAGTACACGTTCATCTACCAGGCCTTGCTGGAGTACTACCTCTACGGCGACACGGAGCTAGACGTGTCCTCACTGGAGCACCACCTGCAGACGCTGCACAGCACCACCGCCCACTTCGACAAGGTTGGGCTGGAGGAGGAATTCAGGGTGAGCACAGGCCCCCTGGGCATGCTGGGCAGGCAGCCCAGGGCCAGGGGTGAGCGCAGTGTCCAAAGCCTCCCGTCTGAGCCGTCCCTGCGGCACTCGGGCGGGCGGGCGTAGGCGCACACAGACGCCGTCCCTGTCCCATCGCTCAGGTGGCTTCTGGAGGAGGCGGCAGGTGCTTCCGGTCACACCTGTGCCCAGGAGCAGCGGGGGCTGCAGGCTCACCTGCGGCCTTGTGTTCTTGTCTTAGAAGCTGACGAACGTCCGGATCATGAAGGAGAACATGAGGACAGGGAACTTGCCCGCCAACATGAAGAAGGCTCGAGTCATCCAGATCATCCCCTGTAAGGCGGCCCCGTGGTGTGGGCTGGGCCGTTGCGATGGCGGGGGTGGAGGCTGAGACCTCTGATCACCGCTGCAAACCCATAGCAAGGACAGGTGGATAGTGCCACGGGCCTGCTCTAGGCGTATGGGTGTTTGGTCAGCTGTGTGGTCCAGGCCCCCAGCCCCCTGGGGGCTGCAGACAGTCCCTTGCTGCTGGTGTCGGGCTGAAGCCTAGGGTGTGGCTCACACGAGGCCCTGTAGAAGCTGAGAGAATTGCCCCAGGCCTGGCCCGGCACCTCAGTCCCCTCCCATTCAGTGCTCCCCCAAGCATGGATGGAGAGCAACATGGCCAAAGTCATGCGGCCAGCTAGGAGCTAGGCCAGACAGGAAGTGAACTCAGCAGGGTTTTGCTTTGTGGAGCCAAACCATGGGCCCAAGATGGGGTCGAGGGAACAGACACCACTGTCTGTAAGACCCAGTAAGACCCAGCCCAGAAAGCTGGCGGAAGTGAGCTGCAGAAGCATGTGGGACACTGCCTGGCATGCATCATATAGGACACGGCTACGTGACACACGCAGTGTGTCTATACCACACGCAGTGTGTCATCTACACCACACGCAGTGTGTCTATACCACAGGCAGTGTGTCATTTACACCACACGCAGTGTGTCATCTATACCACACGCAGTGTGTCTTTACCACAGGCAGTGTGTCATTTACACCACATGCAGTGTGTCATCTACACCACACGCAGTGTGTCTATACCACACGAAGTGTGTCATCTACACCACACGCAGTGTGTCTATACCACACGCAGTGTGTCATCTACACCACACGCAGTGTGTCTATACCACACGCAGTGTGTCATCTACACCACACGCAGTGTGTCTATACCACAGGCAGTGTGTCATCTACACCACACGCAGTGTGTCATCTATACCACACACAGTATGTCATCTACACCACACACATAGTGTGTCATCTACACCACACGCAGTGTGTCTATACCACAGGCAGTGTGTCATCTACACCACACGCAGTGCATCATCTACACCACACACAGTGTGTCATCTACACCACACACATAGTGTGTCATCTACACCACACGCAGTGTGTCATCTACACCACACACAGTGTGTCATCTACAACACACGCAGTGTGTCATCTATACCACACAGTGTGTCATCTACACCACACGCAGTGCATCATCTACACCACACGCAGTGTGTCATCTATACCACACACATAGTGTGTCATCTACACCACACGCAGTGTGTCATCTACACCACACACAGTGTGTCATCTACACCACACGCAGTGTGTCATCTATACCACACAGTGTGTCATCTACACCACACACATAGTGTGTCATCTACACCACACACATAGTGTGTCTACACCACAGGGTGCATCATCTACACCACACACAGTGTGTCATCTATACTGCACACCGTGTGTCATCTACAACACACGCAGTGTGTCTACACCACACGCAGTGTGTCATCTACGCCATGCACAGTGTGTCTACACCACACACACAGTGTGTCTGTACCACAGTGTGTCATCTACACCACAGTGTGTCTATGCCACACACAGTGTGTCATCTACACCACACGCAGTATGTCATCTACACCACACGAAGTGCATCATCTACACCACACACAGTGTGTCATCTATACTGCACACAGTGTGTCATCTACACCACACACATAGTGTGTCTATGCCACACGCAGTGTGTCATCTACACCACAGTGTGTCTACACCACACGCAGTGTGTCATCTACACCATGCACAGTGTGTCTACACCACACACACAGTGTCTAAACCACATGTGGTGTGTCTGTACCACACACAGTGTCGTCTATACCACACACACAGTGTGTCTGTACCACAGTGTGTCATCTACACCACACATAGTGTGTCTACACCACACGCAGTGTGTCATCTACACAGTGTGTCTACACCACAGTGTGTCATCTGTATCAGACACAAAGTGAGTCTGTATATCCACGTGTGTCATTGTCACCTGTGATGTGTTCTGTGGCCTGTTGCTCAGCCAGCACACATGGCTACCGAATGGCTGTGAACAGGCTGCTCTGACCAGGGTCGCTGTACTGAGGGGAACGCACGGGTCTGGAGGGCTGCGCACCTCCCACCCTGAGACCCTTGACTGTCTGTGCCTGGGGTGGTGTTTTCCTGCTGTGGCCCCAGGGTACTGCCTGGGTATCATTCCTTTCATTCCAGTGTGTGTGTGTGTGTGTGCGTGCGTGTGCGTGCGTGTGTGCACATGCACACACATGTGGCTTGAACTTAAAAGCTTCACTGTTTCACTTAGCTTTTTCACCCAAGGCTGGCACTCTACTACTTGAGCCATTCCTCTACTTCTGGCTTTTTGCTGGTTAACTGGAGTCTCACAGATTTGTCTGCCCAGGTTGGCTTCAAGCCTAGATCCTCAGATCTCAACTCCTCTCATTCCTTAAATGCAGTGTTTTTTATGAAAAACAAAACAGTTACTGGATTATTTTAAGAGCTTTCCTACCAAAAAAGGAAATGTTCCTATTTGCAGCTCCGCTTTAGTAACTTAACTGATCATGGAAACTTCCCTGCATTTGCTGGCAGTTTGTATTTTGGCAGGCGACAGGCCCCGGGTCAGAGTGCAGCCAGTGGGCTGCACCTCTGCTGACCCTGAGGAATGGTTCTTTGCAGATGACTTTAATCGGGTGATCCTGTCCATGAAGAGAGGCCAGGAATACACGGACTACATCAACGCGTCCTTCATCGACGTATGTGCTATGCGTCCAGGGTGACCTGCGTGGCCCAGGGTGATTCCTGTCCATCTTCCCGCTCTTGGCTAACTCATCTCCCGAGAAAGAACTGGCCCATCTCCAAAGACGCTTCCTCAGCTCTGGGTGTTTTGTGAGAAGGGAAGCCAGAGCTGGGGCGTAGGGAACAGATGTGCCCTGTGTCGCTGGTTAGGTTTTCCTTCTGCTCCTCCTGCACACCGCGCTTCTTGTACATACATCACGTTCTGTGGGCTTTCTCCTGGGTGAAACCTGACCTGTGTGATGTGTGCCTGGGCCCACGGCTGCTCTGTGCTACACCCACCATGCAATCAGCAGAAAATCAGGCGCGAGGGAGCCTTACCACCAAGGGCCTGCTAGCAGCCCCGCTGGCAGCTGGACCGACTGCCCCTCGGTGGGCTGTGGCAGAGCAGTTGGGGTTCGAAGCCACTCTGTCAGCTCCATACTCAAGCCTGGATGTCAGCCCACAGTGGCATGTCAAACCCAGAGTCACAAGGCCCTGTTCAGGGTCCTCGGTGGGGGAGGGGAGGGCAGCGAGTTCCTAGTCGCCACTCAGAAATGATCTCAGGCTGAGCACCAGTGGCTCATGCCTGTAATCCTAACCATTTGAGAGGCTGAGATCTGAGGATCGCCAGCTGGGCAGGAAAGTCCTTAAGACTCTTTTCTCCAATGAACCAACCTCAGAAGGCCAGGAGTGGATCTGTGGCTCAAGTGGTAGAGCACTAGCCTTGAGCACAAAAGCTCAGGGACAGCACCCAGGCCCAGTGTTCAAGCCCCAGAACCAGCAAATATGTATATGTGTATGTATATGTATATATATTTACGTGTGTGTGTATACATATGCATATGAAATGATCTCAGGGGCTCAAGGCCCAGGTGGGCCTGCTCAGAGGAGGGGCAGCCTGCCTGCCTCTCGGATACGTGGGGGAGGGGAGGCGTGTGCACATGTGTGCCAGCAGTGCTTCTGGTCAGTCAGGGGAGACCGGAGAGCTGCCTGCCTCGGGCTGCCCCAGACGGAGCCCGTGGCAGGCGGTAGTGCCCGGGAGTCACTGACCCACACTCTGTCCCCGCCGCAGGGCTACCGGCAGAAGGACTACTTCATCGCCACGCAGGGTCCGCTGGCACACACAGTGGAGGACTTCTGGAGGATGGTGTGGGAGTGGAAGTGCCACACGATCGTGATGCTGACCGAGGTACAGGAGCGCGAGCAGGTGAGCCCCCGCTGCTGTGTACTGTGTACTGTTTCTAGACTGTTCTCTGCACTGATGGGCCGCCCTGTGAATATTCGTGCTATTTTCCTGGCTACATGAAATGTATTCAATGGTGTGAGAACAATTCTGCAAGCCGCAAATGACTACCAAGGCTTTAAATTTCATTTCCCTACCCGCCGCCCCCAGGATAAATGCTATCAGTACTGGCCTTCCGAGGGCTCGGTTACTCACGGAGAAATAACCATTGAAATCAAGAGCGACACCCTGTCGGAAGCCATCAGCGTGCGGGACTTCCTGGTCACCTTCTGTCAGGTAGCCGGCGGGGGCTGTAGACTCTGGCAGGCACACGAGGCACGGGCCCAGGGCTCTGCTCGTCACGGTGACCCAGCGGGCCCCGTTCCCGACACCGCCTCGCTCCCCCACCTCTCCGGGGTCCCCGATGGAAACCAGCGGTTGTCGTCACACATCTCCTGTAAAGCTAGACTTCCCTGGTCACCTGCCTCCTTGCTGGCCGGTGAGGAGGACGGGGAGAGGTCATTCCCCAGAGATAACACCTTAGCAGGAGGAAGCGGGGGTCACACGAGTAGAGCCGTTGGGGCTTCTTGGGGTCTCCTCTAAGCTTCCTGGACCCTCCCCTCCCCACCCCTCCCCACTGGGGTCCTGGGCTCCCTTCACCCTGCAGAGCCTGTGGCCTCCCAGTCAGTGGGGCCACATGGCACCAGTGGGACTTGGTTCTGAGCACACCATGGTCAGTCCAAGAAATCCGCTTGCCGCTTCAAGGCAAGTTGCAAACTACCTGAGCCTCCAGACCCCAGCCTCTCCTGGGAAGGCAGGTCCCGGCCTCTCAGGGTGCGGGGTGCCAGGGATCCTGTGAACCGCTGAGGGGGAGAGGCCCCCAGGGCCCCCAGGCCAATCTCCTGCCCCTGTCCCCTCCCCCACCCCATGTCAGAGGCAAGCCCAGCATCTGCTAGCCAGGCTACCTCAGACCACCTGGATGGAGGCCACAGGGGCCTGGGGGGGGGGGGGGGGCTTCCCAGACCTGGCTGGGCTGCGGGAGAGGCCTGTGACCTCCGTCTCTCTCCCACAGCCCCTGTCCCGCCAGGAAGAGCAGGTCCGCGTGGTGCGCCAGTTCCACTTCCACGGCTGGCCCGAGATTGGAATCCCCGCGGAGGGCAAGGGCATGATCGACCTCATCGCGGCCGTGCAGAAGCAGCAGCAGCAGACGGGCAACCACCCCATCACGGTGCACTGCAGGCGAGTGCCCTCCCAGCCAGGGCGCCCCCTCATGGCAGGGCAGGGCGGGGCACATGCCGCCCTTTCTACGTGCTCTGTGTCTGCACACAACTTCACCCAGTGCCTGCGTGTCAGCCCATCACCAGCAGAAAGTACCTGCGAGGAGTCAGGACGGGGCCGTGTCAATGCCAACTCAAGCAGAAGGGACCAACGCCCTCCTGCCTGCAGGCTTAAGGCATACATGCCCCCACCCAGGGCAAAGGTCAGGCGGGAGGGCAAAGGGCACTCTGGGGAACCCCTAGAGACAGCACCCAGGGAGGATGGCCATAAAGCAGGGTTATCTAGCCACATCTGAAGCCCCGCCTGCCCCTGGCCTCCTCCCATCCATCCCACCCCACACGGCCACGCCCCCACCCTCTTCCAAGCAGTAACGGGGTATTTCATTCTTAGGTGGAACTGATTTAGTACCAAAGCTGTGATGTTGTCTCTGTTCCTGCACCTGGGGCTCCCACCTTTCGTGACTGTCTATAGTCCCCACCTGCTACTCAGGGGCTTAATTAAGAAGGTTCCGGACTTCCCAGAGTGGAAAAGCACTTGCATGCACTCCCCAGCCTGGCCAGTAGGTGGCGCACACACCAGGGCTTTTCAATCCTGGATGCCTTTCCATTTAGAATGAACTAGAACCGAGCCCTCTACCCCGTGGGGCGTAGGCTGTGAGTTCAGCTCGTATGTGGCACAGGGGTCCCACACCGAGACACGTCACAGCAGCAGGTGGGAGGCTGGAGGGCAGCCCGCCTCTCCAGAGGGTGCCGGAAGGGCCAGGCAGCCCCGCCCCTCCCGCCTCTCACCCGGGACCCTGGGAGCTTAGCGAGGCCAGCCCCACTCCACCACCACGCTGGAAGTCCACCCGACAGTTCGTGGCAGTCAGTGCCCACAGTCCTGTCTTCAATTGCCCTTTGCAGGTGACCAGATGCTGAAGACAGAACCTGGCACTGTGTCTGGGTCAGTGCTATGTCCTTCCTCTGGGGACCTGACCCAGGAGCGGTCACTTTTGTTTGTTTGTTCATCGGGATCCTGAAGTTTGGGTTCACAATTATTGGGCAGGTGCTCTACCACTTGAGTCACACCTCTGGCTCTTTTTTCTTTAGTTAGTTTTCAGGTTAAAAACACACACTTTTTGTCTGGGCAAGCCTGAACCGCGATCCTATTTATGCCTCCCAAGAAGCTGGGTTTGCTGAGGGCTCACACTTCTAAGGAGCCTCCAGGTGATGCCAGGCTGCTGCTCCAGGAATCCCCACTTGGGGATGGTGCTTACAAGCCACCAGCTGGTTCTGACCCATTTCAGAACATATCAGGGAACTCTCATTAGGCAAACGCTTTGGGGTATGTGTCTGCTGGGTCTTGTCACATGCACGTGATTGGTAGAGGTCTAGTGACTGCAGCTGTTTTGGTTCTGACCCGCGGGGTAGGCTAGGCGCCACCGTGGTTGCTCACTAAGTGCGTCCTCTGTGTCCACAGCGCGGGAGCCGGGCGCACGGGCACGTTCATAGCCCTCAGCAACATTTTGGAGCGAGTGAAAGCAGAGGGACTGTTGGATGTATTTCAGGCTGTGAAGAGCTTACGGCTGCAGAGACCACACATGGTGCAAACCCTGGTAAGGATGAACGATGCAAGCCTTCCTAGTGGAGTGCAGGCCTGGCTCATACGTGTGTCTGTTCCATTACCAGAATTCCAGCGTAAGTGGGAGGTGGGACAGAAAACCAGACAGAACTCCTCACCGAGACTCCACAGGGCTGTACCGAGCCCTTCCTTCCTCCGTGGCTGATGGGGTGGGGGTCTCAGGGCAAGTCCCAAGAGAAAGATCTGTGCATGGATCTTTATTTTAAAACACTCTTAAGCAGTCTTGAAGCTTAAAATGTTGGTTCTGCTGTTTTCTTGTTTTTGTTTGGATGCTGGAACTGGAACTTGAACTCAGGGCCTGGGTGCTGTCTCTTAGCTTTTTTCACTCAAGGCTGTTACTGTAGTAAGAGATTTACCATGGAATTTCAGAGTTTCCTGTCCAGGCTGGCATCAAGCCCGAGTCCTCAGATTTCAGCCTCCAGAGGAGCAGGGATTACAGGCATGAGCCTCAGCTTTCTTACAGTATCAACTTCACACCATTGTGCTTGGTCTGGTTTTCCTTCGGGGTGAAGGGGTGGTTCCACGGAACCGCCCAGCACACAGCTGCACTGTATTCCTTCCTTATGTGGATGCCCGATGCCGGATTTTGGAAGCCTCCTCCTCACAAAGTATGGGTGCACACTAAACCAGCACTGCAGCTTTAGAAGCTGCTAGAACACATTACTTACCCCACAGCCTCCTGCCCCACCCAGGGCTGCCCAAGCAGCTTGCCACTAGGTCAGGCTGGTACCAGGTTCTACCCCGGCTGCCCACAGACTCAGTGGGGGTGTTTACCTACATTCAGCTGCTTGAGCTGCCCCTAGCACCATTCAAGTGGCCTCTGTTCTCTGGGGTGGGCCCCCAGTGTGGGTATAAAGCTTTGTGCAGATCCTCGACATTCCTACTGTGGGGTGCTGGTCACATTGACAGAAATGTCCCTTTGGCAGGGTAAATTTAGGCTTAAAGATGATCTGTTTTCATTTTATTTGATATGTATTGATTACAGTATGAACTTTATCTGACAGTGATAATATGCAAGTTTTTATTTTCCATTTCAAAAATAGTTGTTTTGCTGGGTACCTGTAATCCTAGCTTCTCAGGAGACTGAGATCTGAAGGCCATGGTTCAAAGCCAGCCCAGGCAGGAAAGTCCATGAGACTTACTCCAGTTAACTATCAAAAAAGCTGGGGGGCTGGGAAGGTGGCTCAGTGGTAGAGCGCTTGCCTTGCATGCATGAGGCCCTGGGTTTGATTCCTCAGCACCACATAAGCAAAAAGAAAAAAGCTGGAAGTGGCGCTGTGGCTCAAGTGGTAGAGCACTAGCCTTGAGCTGAAGAGCTGAGGGACAGCGCCCAGGCCCAGAGTTCAGGCCCCATGACCAGACACCGCCCCCCCTCCAAAAAAAAAAAAGCTGGAAGTAGAGCTGTGGTAGAACACTAGCCTTGAGCACAAAAACTCAGGGACAGTACCCAGACCGAGTTCAAACTCTCTGTCTCTGACTCTCTTCTCTATCAGATAGATAGATAGATCTATAGATAGATAGATAATGGTTTTCAGGTTTAAGTATGAAAACTAGATCTACTCCTAAAATACACTAATTTCAAATGAAACATTGCTTATCTCTAAGAAATTTTCAAATGCCTAAATACTAAGATATATAGCTTTGTGTGTGAGGGCAAATAGTACTTTAATAATTGCAGACTTAACTCGTTTCTTTTTACTGTGGCTTCTGACTGAGCTAATCAATTTTTTAAAGCATCCATTTTAATATAATCTTGTTTTTTTTTCAGGAACAGTATGAATTCTGCTATAAAGTGGTACAAGATTTTATTGATATATTTTCTGACTATGCTAATTTCAAATGAAGATTCCTGCCTTAAAATATTTTTTAATTTAATGGTCAGTATATTTTGTAAAAATCATGTTAATTTATTTCATAGTGGACATTAATATCCTTCCTAATTTCTTTGTATATATTTTTATGTTTTAAAGGTCATCTGCTATAGTTATTAAATCATAAAATACTTTTTAAAAATTGGAATAATGTATTAAGGCCCCACAAGACACATTTCTGCTACTATCAGCCAACGTCTTAATTCCTCATGCAAGCCTGTCCTGTGATGTCTAGATGTCATCTTCCCTAAGATGACAACTTGTGCTCATGCAACACACCAAACCATGTCCCTTGTTTAAAAAAAAAAAAAAAGATCGAGGACTTGGAAATGGGGTCAGAATTTACTTTCAATCCCTGAGTTTATAACTGAACGACAACAGAAAGCAATGCAAGCAGGAGCTTTTATAAAATTCTAGGTTTCAACCGTATTATCAGTTGTAAAGATCACAGACTGCCCAGGTGAAAGGGAAGACAGAGAAGGCGGAAGCAGGTCTTCCCACCCACGTGGGCCTGGGGCAGTACCACCTGCCAGCCAGCCTTCTGTGGGATTCAGACAGACTTCCCTGTGTTCCTTGCATTGGGCCCAGCTGCCTGTGCTGGCCTTGAGCGAGGCCCGCTGAAACCACGTCCCATGCAGATCTTCAGGGGAAGAGTCTGAGCATGCCGACCCAGCCAGCCAGCACACATTCGGATAGGATGGCTAGAACCAGCGAATCTTAATGTAAATTTTCAGAGACGCATTTTGGTATTTACTTAGTTTTCTTACAATAAAGCTAAGAGGACTGTAAGAAAATAAATCTGAAAACTCTAGATTTGTACAGTTCGGAAAGATCCCACTTTCCAGTGAGGAGTCCTTCATGGTGAAGGATCCATCTTAGTTTTGGATGGCAATCCTGAGACATTTGACATGGGAAGTAACGATGCTGTTGTCAGAGCTGGCTTCAGCCAGAGGGAGAGAAGGAGGGAGGGAGGAAAGAAGGACAGAAAGAAAAATGGAAGAAAGAAAATGGAAGAAAGGGCGAATGTAAGAATGTTTCATTCAATAGCATGTCTTTCTGTGGGCATTAAATATCTAGCAGATGAGCACAATGTGAAAGACAGTCTAACTTACTAAAGGTATTGAACATGTGTAGTTCTGGGTATTTTTTTTTTTTCCATTTTAAAAGATACACAAATGCGAAAGCCTTATTTGACATTTTCCTTGAGAGCTCATCTCTCCGGCCTGTTTTTCTCTGCACCCCTGATGGCTGATAGTGTGTGTGGGTGCAACCCAGGGTCAAGTGCTGCCCTCCAGACGCACAAGTCACCCAACTTCTCCGCTGCCCCGCTGGATCCCAGCCTTTCCAAGGGGAAGAGCTGTCACAGACAAAAGCACCCTTGGTGGTTGGGCCAGGACTGCCGGCCATGGCCTGGGCTTGCCTCTGCCAGATCCATCTCCCCTCTGTGGACGTTGAGTGGGTATTTCTGGAGCAAAGTGCAAGGTGCTTCTCCCCAGCCACCATCTGGTCCCATCTATGTCTGTGCTAACCTCCCCAGCCTAGAGCCTTTCTCTTGGACTGACGAGGAAGAGGGGGCCGCTAGCTTCCACCCAGCACTTGAAGCCCACTCGGGTTGAGAGGACTGCAGCTTTTACACTGGTCATTTATTTGGGATGCTGAAGTCCAAATTTCAGCGCTGGTAGTCAAAAATCCTTGAAGCCCGTTAAAGTTCTACTTTGCATCTCTTGTATCAAGAAGTGCATTTAGTAGTACTTTTTCGGAGCCGTCCTCAGGAAAGTGCCCCCTTTGTGTCTTTTCTTTTTCCCTGCCATCATGACAGTCCCAGGTGCCCACTGCTGGGCTCTGCCTGTCCCTAAATTCATCCCCTCCCAGAGACCCAGGGCCCCTCTGCAGCCCTGACTGCTCAGCCTCTGCCAAGGCCAAGGCCACCAGCCTGCCTCCTGGGCTGAAGAGCAGCTGAGTGCACAGCGGTTCATAGACAGATGCGTGCAGATGCGTGCCGGGCATCTGCCCTGTGCCCCGGGGCACGTTCATCCCTCCTCTTGTCAGAGAAAGTGGGGCATAAGGCAGCCATTCCTTTCTCCAGTCTGTCTCTGTTGCATGCAGTTGTAATTCAATGCTGAATAGCGATCAGAAGCTGAGCTTGCTGATTGGGACAGTTCCCTGGTCACCGTGTGACTTACGTTACTCTCTCCATGTGCTAGAGGCAAGAATGCACACCTGGGTTTTCAAAGGTATTTTTATGTGTTTTTAAAAACTTTTTTAAATGAGCCTGATCCCTGTGTTTTAGCATTTGGAGACATGCCCATTTTTAAAACAAAACATGTTTACTGATATATTTTTGTTTAACTAAGCTGTGTTTAATTTATGTGCAGTCTTTATCTGTCTTATGGTCCCCACTCTCATGTTTTTCTTTATTCCATTTATAATTTGATCTTGCTCTGATTATGACAGTGAATGTTGCTTTATACTTTGCATATGCAAATCGCAAGATCTAAAACATTCAGATGTAAGAATAAACCTTCACTTTGACTACCAGCCTGTGTCTTTCAGTTTTTTCAGCCAGACCTGCATTACAGGACTGGGGGTGGGGGAGGTAGGCTCATGGCAGAGCAGCAGTCTAGCATGCGTGAGGCCCCTCCGGATTCCAACTCCAGCACCAAAGACATACCTGCTTTATGTAGAAAAATCACTGCAGGACTTTCAAAACTTAGCTCCCAGACAGGTACTGGTGGCTCACAGCTGTAATCTTAGCTATTCAGGAGGCTGAGATCTGGGGATCATCAAAAGAAAGGTAGGAAAGTCTGTCTCTTACCTCCGATAAGCAGCAGACAGCTGGAAGTGGAACTGTGGCTCCCTAGTGGTAGAGCGCTAGCCTTGAGTGGAGTGGAAAAAGCTAAGAGACCAAAGCCAGGTCTTGTGTTCAGGCCTTAGTACCAGCATGCATACGTGCCTGTGTACATGCATGAATGCACCCCCCCCCCCAAGTTCCCACCTGGTACAAATGCAGAGCCTAGGAGTGAGTGGGTACTGTGACCCAGAGCAGCCCAGCGTCCATGTGGTCTGCGGTGCCACTCCCGCAGGAGGCAAGTGCTCCTCTAGCTGGAGCAGGACGCTGTGTGCACAACCAATGTGGAGGAAGATGGCAGCAGGTGTGGCGGCCCACGGCCAGGTGGGATCATGAGGTCCTCCGGTGCTTTTCTTCCTGATCCAGACCTGTATTCCTCTCTTGATATGCACCTTTTATGCCTCTGATGACCCCAAACCTCAACCCCCGTGTCCCCTCCCCCTCCACTTCACCCACTGGCCTTCCAGATGCACTCAGCCCAGTGTGGAACCTTAGGATTCCTATTTGTTGTGTCTATTTAGTAAGTTGAGTGAGCCTTGCTGTGTTTAATGGTGAGTTTTACCCCTATTTCCTTCTCTTAACATAGCCTCATCTTCTAGGAAGTGATGCTGGCTTGTGGCTTGTCCATTACTGCTTCTCATCGCGGGCCTGTGGATCTCTGTAGGCTCCACAGACTAGCAGTGCCTCATTCTGCCCCAACCATGGTTGAGGCCCCTCCCCTGGGAGGCAGCCCCGCCCGGCCCCGCCAGCGCGGAAGGCTGCAGGCATCTGTGAGAGCTGCCTCGGAAGTCCATCTGATGGACTCAAACAGAGCTCTGGGCAGTCGGGCAGGTTAGGGGTGGCACCATGTGGGGAGGGCTCCGAAGAGGGTTTGTGTGGCATCTTCAGCCACTGAAAGACAGGCTGAGGGAGGCAAGCCCTTCACCCCAAATCCTTGCCGATGGCACCCAGGCACTGCCAGCCAAAATGGAGGCTTCTGTTACTGAGCGAATTGTGTCCTGACCCAGAATGGGACCATCTATGGAGAAAACAGAAGTACCAAACGATGCGTCCTGTGGGTGTTTGCCTTTGAAACACAAATGTTGCTCTTAAATGGGTGTTTCTAACACCACCACAGCCTCTAGGATTTAAACCACCTCAAGGGTGTGCTTGAAGCGAGAGTTACCAAGGTGAGATGTGTGTGCGTGGCTCAGCTCTGCTCCACAGCACGCGAGGCTCCTAAATTCTAATTCCACCCATTACTGTGCTCAGGGACGTCCCTCACGTCACACAGGGTGTGACTTCAGGGTTTCCGGTGTGGACGGGACTCTTCTGTGTACACAACCCCGTTCTCCAGCAGCTCACCTGTCACCCACCCGGCTACACCACCCAAAAGTCCCTCCCTACCCTGTTCTGCACCGACTTCAAGCACAACCTCTTACTAAGTTGGCTGAAACATGTAGTTACATCTATTGGTCTGAAGACAGGGCTTCCTGTGTGCAAGGCAAGGCAGACTGAACACAAGAGGCAATGACCTGCAGGTCTTTATTCTAGAAGAACACGAAGGGCCATGCTGTATCCACCCACCCCCAAATTTTCCCCTTTCATTAATGAGGTCCCGCCATAGTCTCTTCCATGACACGGAGCTTTTGAAAACGAGTCAAACCCAGGAGATTCTTAAATTTGTTCCCTTCCCTGTCTCCCCCCCCCCATACTATTATTTACAGAATTCACTCTTACAATGACGGTGGAAGACCTGAACACTAATCCCACTCTTCACTGTATCCTCCATGTCTGCTATACATCTTCACCGTCGCGCAGACGCCTGCTTCTCACTCTCTTGGAGCTCATGGTGTCGTCTGCCTGTTTGGGAAGAAAAACACAGTATTAGAAGACTTAATCCAACTTCTTACGATCAACTCTGCTGTGTAAAACCCCAATCCTTACAGGTGTTACACGGTACCTTCATTCGAGATAATTTTTAGGTTAGAAATTAATTTTAAGATATAGCAACCACCCTGAAATTTTTTTCCTAACCTTTTTATAATTTTCAGTGTTGTAAAGCAAAATTTTCCTTATCTTTTCATACCAAAATATCTCATGTATTGTTTAATGTATACTATATGTAATAGGAAACTCAATTTCTTTATCAATGTAAACATTTGCACTAATAGGAAATGCTATTCACCCTGTGCTGGTGCTCACACTTATAATGCTAGCAACTCAGGAGGCTGAGATCTGAGGATCTCAGTTTGAAGCCAGCCCAGGGAAGAAAAGTCCATGAAGACTCTTAGCTCCAATAAGCTACTCAGAAAAAGGTGGAAGTGTGCTGTGGCTCAAGTGGTAGAGTACTACCCTGGAGCAAAAGAAGCCCAGGGACAGCCCAGGCCCTGAGTTCAAGCCCCAGGACCAGGAAGGGAAGGAAGGAGGGAGGGAGGGAGGTTGGTTCTTCAGAAAAAGGGAATAGGATTTGCACTGAAACTTCTGATTCTCCTACAGCGAACTCCCCATAGACAGGACGCCCACTGAACTCTGTGACCAGAGCCCTATAGGAGGGCTTAGGAGAACACATCTTACCCTGAGCGCTGGGGAAACACACAGAGGCCAGGCCCCCATTCAGCTAGAAATGAGGGTCCAGATGCTGGCCCAAAGGCCTTGCCTTCCCAGAGGGAGAGCCTGGGCCTTGGAATCTCGGCCCCACTGGACCCGGAACTGCTCTTCACCAACCAGGTGCCACCAGGGAGACGCTGGGCCTACTTTAAAAGCAGCTTTATGACCATGGATAGTACAGAAAGGAAGAGGCTGGGAAATGTAGCAGGTACTCAAAAAGCCAAGGCTGTTTGAATGGAAAAATTGCGGAAAATGCTGACCGGGTGAAATGCTAGATGGTACAGTTGTCAGAGGGCAGAAGCTGAATCCAAGGCGGATGGGAGAAGGCAGGAGACACAGCTGAGACTCACTCTGGGACCCTGGCTGGGATGGAGAGCCTGGAGGCAGACCTGTCACCCCAGTTTAGTTTGCAGAGAACCAATCTCACATCACAAACCGCCTATGAGATTGTATTTGCTTTTCTCATCCATGTCAAGATGTGCTTTCCGATACCCTAGGCAACTCTCGCTGGGCCACCTGCTCCCGGAAGTGGAAGTGGGGCCTCGGGAAAGCTAAGTTGCAAACTGAGCACATGTAGTTTGTAGAGAGAGAGCAGAAATATAGGATGGGCAGTCCACTAAGGACACAGCCCTGGAGAGACACGCGTGTCAGTGTGGGCACAGGGGCGATGGGGAGAGGCCCCAGGACCCGACAGGGCACGGCCGCACTCACGTTGAGACCTTGCTGCTGCGCCAAGTGAAAGGAATACTGTTCTTTCGTCCTTCAATGTCACTCCAATGAGGTACCATGTGCCAAACAATTCTGGCCTTTTTTGCTTTGTTTTGGTGCCAGTCCTAGGGCTTTGAACTCGGGACCTGGGCACTGTCCCTGAGCTCCTTTGTGCTCAAAGGCTAGCGCTCTCCCACTCCAGACACAGCTTCTACTTCTGCCTCTTTAGAGGTAAGTCTCATGGACTTTACTGCCAACTACGATCCTCAGATCTCAGCCTCCCCAATAGCTAGGAGTACTGGCATGAACCACTGCTACTCAGCTTTTTGGTTACTGTTGTTTTGTTTCAATTGGGGGTTAGTCTCTTGTACTTTCCTGCCTGGGCTGATTTTGAACAACACTGCTCAAATCTCGCCCTCCTGAGTAGTTAGGATTACAGTCATGAGCCAATGATGCCTGGCTAAACTTCCTATTAAGCCAGCTAAATCAATCATTCCCCCAGAAGGAAACAAATCCATTTTCATTACACTTTACAGCTTATGCAAATTATTAATTTATGAGCTACTTGCAGCCACACTTATAGTCCATTAACTTTGATACCGTCTGGCTGAGGAGGGCAGGGTGAGACATGCACCTCCTATTGAGCATCATTTACCAAGCCCTCTTTGGCTCGGGCAGGCTCCCAGCCCTGGCTACCTATGCATTAGTAGGCGAGGCTGACCCTGAGACAATGTCACCTACAGTCTAGGGAGCTGCATGAAAAGCTGTCAAGAAGAGAGGACCGAGTGAGTTCCTAGTTCTTCCAGGATGGGTGGAGTCTTCAGTCATCTGAACTCCCCATCTGAAGCGGAAGTCCCACAGCAGGCACAACAGACTGTAGTTCGGGTAAGGATAGAGACACGGCTCTGGTCAGTGCTCCTGCCGTCCAGCTGTGTGCTGGCTGACTGTGCGGTCATACGCCCCTTTGCAATATGAGACCTCTCTGTCTTTTCTGAGACACAGTCCATTCCTTACCTTCTTTGGATTTTCTGCACCTCGCTTGGCCCCTCGAGTTACTCTGGGCTTGGGTTCACTGTCCAAAGTGCTTCCTGCGGGCTGGATTGCAGTCCTCTTAGCTCGCAAGCCCCTCACATCCGGCCTTGCCCCGCTCTCGTTCTGACCCCTGCTGGAGCTCTCCTGGCTCTCCTTCACCTTGTCCTCGGCGGGGAGGGGCGCGGAGGCCTTGCTCTGCCCTCCAGACCGCAGGCCCCCGCGGGCTCCTCTGACGTGGCCCCGCGTGGCAGGTTGCTGGCCTCCATTCTCTTTGCTCTGTGGCTCTGTGTCTTGGGAGGTCTTCTCAGGTTTCTTCGCGTTTCTCTTTGCTGTAACCTTCTCTGCAGACCCAAGCCCTTCGGGGCTCTGCTGTCCCGCACGTGGGTTTTGTGGGTGTCTGATACGCAGAGACATTCTCTGAGGGGGAACACATCCACGTAGTTACAAAAGATGACAGCACACTTCCAGATTCTACCAGCCAAACCTCCAACTTCACGTACTCAAAAGCAAACACCACAGGAGTAAAAAAGGACTGCAAATTTGTATTTCTTTTCTAAGAGATTCAAAGCCTTCCTCCTACAGAGAAAGGGCCACCTGTACTGATGTATTAGAATCCCAACCTCAATGTCTAGCAGGCCATACACCAACTCTAACATTTAGGTGTCAGTACTGAGAAGGCCCCAGTACATGGGTGGCCCCTCAGCATCTGCTGCCGGCCGGCCCAGGACTGCACTCACGGGGGTTCGGGTGTGCAGGAACCTCACAGCCCAGGCATTTCACCGCTCAAGGTGGGAGCTGGACATTGCCCTGGTAAACCCACGTAAGACACACAGCTCCTCCCAATGGGCCTGGCGCCAGCACCGGGAGTGCTCAGGGCTCTCACCTGATTGGCAGCAGGTGCCTCTCGGGGTTCCCCGTCTTCTGTCTCCGTGCTGTTGCAGCTCTGTTCTTCCCCCAGGTGAATTTTGGGAGCGAGAACTCTCAGACACTTCAGCATCTTTAAAGGCCGGGGTGGCCTGGGCCTCTGACGGACGGCTGGCTTCTCCTCTGAAGAAGCGGGCGTCGTTGTCACAGAGCTCTGCACACCGGGCCCATCTTCTCCAGGTTCCTGTTTGGGGATCAGGGATGTCACAGGCTTCTCTTTTGGGGCCCTGAGGACTCTTCTGGAGGTCTTCAGAGGTTTGGGGGTGACCACACCATTTGTCAGCTCTTCTGTGTGCGCTGGGGGTTGGACTGTCTCTTTGGGGGCAGCTGGGCCACCTAGGGGCTGGGTGCTTTCCTTACGAGCCCCCCGCAGCCTCCTGGTACCAGTGACATTATTTGCTGGGTCGAGTGCCTGCTTTGCAGGTTCCTTTGAAGCCTGGCTATCTGTAACATTGCCTTCTAGCACCTTCCGAGTGCGTGTGGTTTGCCTCGATGCTCGGGTCAGCGTCCTAGCCGCCGGGAGTTCCTCCTCCGTGTCCACCGTGCCCCGTCGTGACCTGGTCGTTCTCTTCGAGGGGACAGAGGTGTCCTGCGGCTGGGGCTGTGGAGGCTGGCGGGGCGTGTTTGTGGACTTCTCATTGTCTGCTGGATCCTCCGTGTGAGCCGGTGCCTGGAGAGCCTCTGGGAGGCTGGCCGGGTCGAGAGGCGGGGCCTTCTCCGCAGCTGCCCCCCGCAGCCTCTTGGGGCGAGCTACTCTTGCTGGGGGGGCAAGTTCTGGCTGCAGAGGTTCCTCCAACATAGTGACGCCCTCACTGCTATGCATGGGCTTCCCGGCTGTCTTCCTGGTCTCCCGTGCTGGTCCCGAAGTCTCCTTGCTCACCATAGCGTTCCCACGTCGCGTCCTAAGTGGTCTCCTCGAGGCTGTGTCCGTGTCGGGCTCTGGCTGTGGAGACTGGTGGGGGATTCTGCCGGTGCTCGCATCACTTCCGGAGTCTTCCATGTGCGCTGGGGGTTGGATTGTCTCGTTGGAGGCAGCCAGGCTGTCTAGGGGCTGGGTGCTTTCCTTACGAGCCCCCCGCAGCTTCCTGGTACCAGTGATGCTTTTTGCTGGGTCTGGGACCTGCTTTGCAGATTCCTTTGAAACCTGAATGTCAGTAACTTTGCCTTCTAGGACTTTCCTGGTGCGCGTGGCTTGCCTGGACGCTCGGGTCAGTGTCTTTGCCTCGGGGAGCTCCCCCTCCGTGTCCACCGTGCCCCGTCGGGTCCTGGTTGCTCTTTTCAGGGGGACAGAGGTGTCCTGTGGCTCGGGCTGTGGAGGCTGGCGGGGCGTGTTTGTGTCCTTGGTTCCGAGGAGCTCCTGCAAGCCGGCCTGGTCGTCTGGGGACAAGGCCTTCTCAGGCACCCCGCGAAGTCTCTTGCTTTTGCTGCCAGTTACACTATCTGCGGGATCCAGTTTCCGTTTTGCACGAGGTTTAACCACCCCGGCCCCATCTTCACCTCCGGGCACTTGGGGTGTGCGTGTGGGCTCCCCTGACTTGTGTGGGAGCTTTGAGAACCCCAAGGGCTCCCCATCTGTGGGGGCTTTCCCCAGACTTGCCCTGGCCTGTCTCTTGGCGGTTGCTGGGGTGTTGGTTGGTGGTAGCTGTGGTGCTGCGCGGGGCACCAGGTCCTCGGGGCGGCCGGGCGTCTGGAAGAGCTCCTGCAGGCCGGAAAGGTCCTCCAGGGGCTGGGCTTTCTCTTTGGGTGTCATCCGCCGCAGCCTGCTGCCAGCTCTTCTTGCTGGGTCACGGGCTGGACGTGCAGATACCTCCCCGGCTTTGGGGACCGTGACCTCACCATCTGGCACTCTGTGTGTGTGTGTGGTCTCCTCCAACGCCTCTGTCATCTCCTGGGGGGCCGGAAGTTCTTTTTTCACCCTCAGTGTTCCCAGACTCGGCCTAGACGGTCTCCCTGGTTCTGACTGTGGAGAAGTGCCGGGCAATCCTGTGATTTCCATAGGCATTGAGTCCTTGGGGTGGCCTGGGGTCTGGAAGAGCTCCTGCAAGCCAGACAGGTCCTCCAGGGGCTGGCTCCTTTCCTTAGGAGCTCTTGGCTGCTTCCAGCGGCCCTGTCTATTAGCGACTGTGCGTGGTGTCTGCATTGTGGATTTCCCTAAAGCGGCCTTGCTTTGTGTTACCTTGGGGCTGCTCTTAGAGGCCCCTGACGGAGACCGAGGCCTCTGCTTTCTTGGCTCTTCTTCCACATCGTTCCCCCGACTTGGCCTGGGCTGTCTCCTTACACCTGCAGTTCTCACTAGCTCTGGTTGTGGAGATCTGCCGGACACCTCTGTGGTCCTGTTAACAGTCTTTGAGCCCTTGCTGCGGTCTGGAGTCTGGAAGAGCTCCCGGAGGCCAGGCAGGTCTCCCGGGGACTGGCCCCTCCTCTCCGGCGTGCGCCTCCTAGGGCCAGTGGAAGTGGCCGGCAGGTGCGGTTTCTGTTCCGGAGTCAGCACAAGCGCTGAGCTGGCGCCCCCTGGCTGTGGCACGATGGGTGTGCGCACGGCAGACTGCCTTTGCTTCCTGAGTGGGGAAAGCTCTTCTTTCACAGCCAAGTGCCCCAGACTGGCCCTGGGCTGTCTCTGTGTGCTCCTCGGGGTCCTGACTGCTCCTGGTTTTGGAGATGTGGAGGCTCTTTCTGTGGTTCCATCAGCAGCGGTCGAGTCCTGGGCATGGCCCGGGGTCTGGAAGAGCTGCTGCAAGAAGGACAGGTCTTCTAGAGGCTGGGCCTTCTCCCTAGGGGTCCTCCGCAGCCTCTTGCTGACAGTCACACTGGCTTCTGAGCTCAGCTTCCGCTTTGTGGGTAGCTTCCCAGCTCGGGTGCCACTGTCCCCACCTTTGGGTTCCCGGAGAACCTGTGAGAGCTCCCCGAGTCCTGGAAGCCGCCCCTCCATGTGGGCTTTCCTCAGGCTCATCTTGGATCGTCTCCGTGTGCTTCTTGGAGTCTTGACCGGCTCTGGTGACATTTCTGTAACTGGTGACATTTCTGTAACTTCACCAGGAGTCCTTGGATCCTTGCTGTGCTCTGGTGTCTGGAAGAGTTCCTGGACGCCGGACAGATCCCCCAGGAGCTGGCTCCTTCCCTTAGAAGTCCGGGGCCGTCTCTTGGATCCAGTCAAGTCTCTGGTCATGTCTGGTGTCTGCTCTGGAGTTTGCACGAATGCTGCGCTGAGTCCCTCTTCTTCTGGTGCTGTGGGTGTTTGCAAGGCCTTGCCTGGTGACTGCTGAAGTTTCCTGAGTGAGGAAAGTTCTCTCTCAGCCATGTCTCCCACACTTGTCCTGGGCTGTCTCTTCACACCTGTGGGAACTTTAACTGGTTCTGACTGTGGAGCATTGCTAGGCGTTGCTGTGGATTTGATCACAATCATTGGCTGATTTTTGCTCTCTGGTGTTTGGAAGAGCTCCTGGACGCCAGACAGATCCCCCAGGAGCAGGCTCCTTCCCTTAGAAGTCCGGGGCCGTCTCTTGGATCCAGTCAAGTCTCTGGTCATGTCTGGTGTCTGCTCTGGAGTTTGCACGAATGCTGCGCTGAGTCCCTCTTCTTCTGGTGCTGTGGGTGTTTGCAAGGCCTTGCCTGGTGACTGCTGAAGTTTCCTGAGTGAGGAAAGTTCTCTCTCAGCCATGTTTCCCACACTTGTCCTGGGCTGTCTCTTCACACCTGTGGGAACTTTAACTGGTTCTGACTGTGGAGCTTTTCTGGGCGTTGCTGTGGATTTGATCACAATCATTGGCTGATTTTTGCTCTCTGGTGTTTGGAAGAGCTCCTGGAAGCCGGACAGATCCCCCAGAAGCTGGCTCCTTCCCTTAGAAGTCCGGGGCCGTCTCTTGGATCCAGTCAAGTCTCCTGTCATGTCTGGTGTCTGCTCTGGAGTTTGCAAGAATGCTGTGCTGAGTTCCTCCTCTTCTGGTGCTGTGGGTGTTTGCAAGGCTTTGCCTGGTGACAGCTGAAGTTTCTTGAGTGATGAAACTGCTTTCACATTCACATTTTCCAGACTTGGCCTGGGCTGTCTCCTTACACCTGCAGGAGTTCTCACTAGCTCTGGTTGTGGAGATCTGCCGGACACCTCTGTGGTCCTGTTAACAGTCTTTGAGCCCTTGCTGCGGTCTGGAGTCTGGAAGAGCTCCCGGAGGCCAGGCAGGTCTCCCGGGGACTGGCCCCTCCTCTCCGGCGTGCGCCTCCTAGGGCCAGTGGAAGTGGCCGGCAGGTGCGGTTTCTGTTCCGGAGTCAGCACAAGCGCTGAGCTGGCGCCCCCTGGCTGTGGCACAATGGGTGTGCGCACGGCAGACTGCCTTTGCTTCCTGAGTGGGGAAAGCCCTTCTTTCACAGCCAAGTGCCCCAGACTGGCCCTGGGCTGTCTCTGTGTGCTCCTCGGGGTCCTGACTGCTCCTGGTTTTGGAGATGTGGAGGCTCTTTCTGTGGTTCCATCAGCAGCGGTCGAGTCCTGGGCATGGCCCGGGGTCTGGAAGAGCTGCTGCAAGAAGGACAGGTCTTCTAGAGGCTGGGCCTTCTCCCTAGGGGTCCTCCGCAGCCTCTTGCTGACAGTCACACTGGCTTCTGAGCTCAGCTTCCGCTTTGTGGGTAGCTTCCCAGCTCGGGTGCCACTGTCCCCACCTTTGGGTTCCCGGAGAACCTGTGAGAGCTCCCCGAGTCCTGGAAGCCGCCCCTCCATGTGGGCTTTCCCCAGGCTCATCTTGGATCGTCTCCGTGTGCTTCTTGGAGTCTTGACCGGCTCTGGTGACATTTCTGTAACTTCACCAGGAGTCCTTGGATCCTTGCTGTGCTCTGGTGTCTGGAAGAGTTCCTGGACGCCGGACAGATCCCCCAGGAGCTGGCTCCTTCCCTTAGAAGTCCGGGGCCGTCTCTTGGATCCAGTCAAGTCTCTGGTCATGTCTGGTGTCTGCTCTGGAGTTTGCACGAATGCTGCGCTGAGTCCCTCTTCTTCTGGTGCTGTGGGTGTTTGCAAGGCCTTGCCTGGTGACTGCTGAAGTTTCCTGAGTGAGGAAAGTTCTCTCTCAGCCATGTCTCCCACACTTGTCCTGGGCTGTCTCTTCACACCTGTGGGAACTTTAACTGGTTCTGACTGTGGAGCATTGCTAGGCGTTGCTGTGGATTTGATCACAATCATTGGCTGATTTTTGCTCTCTGGTGTCTGGAAGAGCTCCTGGACGCCAGACAGATCCCCCAGGAGCTGGCTCCTTCCCTTAGAAGTCCGGGGCCGTCTCTTGGATCCAGTCAAGTCTCCTGTCATGTCTGGTGTCTGCTCTGGAGTTTGCATGAATGCTGTGCTGAGTTCCTCCTCTTCTGGTGCTGTGGGTGTTTGCAAGGCCTTGCCTGGTGACTGCTGAAGTTTTCTGAGTGAGGAAAGTTCTCTCTCAGCCATGTTTCCCACACTTGTCCTGGGCTGCCTTTGTGTGCTTCCTGGGGTTCTGGCTGTTGTTGCCTGTGGTGCTTCACGGGTCCTTTTTGTGGTTCTGTCAGTAATCACCAAGTCCTTGGAAAGACCTGGTGTTTGGAGGAGCTCCTGGAAGCCAGCCAGGTCTTCAAGTTGAGTCTTCTCTTTAGGTGTCTCCTGTTGTCTCTTGCTACCAGTTACATTTCCTACTGGATATACTATCTGCTTTGCAGGTTCCTTCAAAGCTCTGATGCTTGTGACATCTGGCTGTGTGACTTTGGGGGCACGCGTGTCCCCCACTGATATGTGAGCAAACTTCCTTAATGCTGAGAGCTTGCTGGCATCCATTTCCCTACTCGGTGTGACTGGCTGTGCTTTTGTGCTTGTTGGCATAGGCTGTGGAGATTTGCGAGGTACTTTAGCTTTCTCATGAGCCATGGGCTGACCTGGTGTTTGGAACAGTTCTGCGAAGCCGACCAGGTCTTCTAGAGGTTGGGTCTGCCTCTTAGGAGTTCTTGGTCCCTTCTTCACCCTAGCTGCACACGCAGCTGGGTCCCCGTGTGGTCTGGGAGTGCCTGGTGTCAGGTTCGTGTGCGTGGGCTGATGAGACATGTGGGGGGCATCCTCCTGGCTGTCCTCTGTCTTCGGTGGTCTCTTTCTGGTGTTTGTGAGATCAGCTCCTTGGGAGGAACTATCTGTTCCGGTGGTTTGGTCGGCCTCATTTTCTGGTTCCTTGGCATGGGCTGGTGTACCCAGGAGCTCTTTGGGTCCAAGTTTCTGCCCCTCGCTTCTTGATCTCCTCACAGCTGTCACCTTTGCTGAACTTTCTGTTGATTTGTCCCTTTCCCTGCCAGTTTCTGCGGATCCTGCACTGTCCTCGCCCTCCGCCTTCCGTGCCCACAGCGGTGTCTTCCTCAGGGGTGTGTCCGTGACGCCCTCAGCCGGGGGTCCTTCGGTTCCTCCATTCTTACTTCTCACAGGTGGCGTCTGTGAACTCCGGAGCTCCCTTGATTGCCTTAACCTGCTGGCACTGGGTACTGTGTTCAGAGGCTCCTTCACAGCATCTGGAGTTTTCCTTTCTGGGTGAGTCGTTTTAGGCATGTTCTGAGGAGTCTTTGCGGTGCTTCTGTCTTCTCTGCTCTGCTCTTTTATGGTGTGGCTTTCAGAGCATTTATCAGATGGCTCCCCTGCTGAGTTCTGAGAACTGAACACTGTAAGAAATAAAAATGCATACAATAAGCATCTTTGCTGCACTATATCCTTAATGTGATATAATTAGTCAGTAGTTCAGTTTCATCATCTGCTTTGATAAGGCTACCAATCCAATCCTGAATCTATCGTAGTTATGTTCCACACCACCCTTAAGGGTAAGTCTCTTTCTCAACATGGGGAGGCCCTCACGAAGTTGTGCTCAGAATCTGGAGTGACTACTTGAGGGGAAAACCAGACTTTAGAGGAGTCTTCTGAAGGCGGCCACGCTGCAGGGCACTGACCAAAACAAGGCAATTTTTCTTTGCACATTAGAAAGTGCCTTCATCTCCAGGGAAGTGGCAGGGCCTGTACTGTGTATGTGCAAGAACCACACTGTACAAGGAACATCTCACTGTTAGCACCAGCAAGCACTGGCAGGGTAGCAAGCAATTCCTTCTGCCCAAGGCCAAACAGGAAGGTAAGGAAATACATCCCTAGCCTCACACACTCTGTCTCCTCCTGATTATCAGAGCAGATGAGTAACTCAGCAGTTTGAAAGGTACTATCTTTCTCTTGTGTAATTGCACATTTTCTATTTGGTAATTAACGTCAATATGATAAGATGCCAGTGTACTTCTCCACATTATCATCCTCTTAAAACTAAAAGCATACAGAAATCATCATCACCAATGAACTTGGGCTCTCTCTGTCTGTTAGTAGATGCCAGTATTAGTTCAACTCAAATGGCATTTTACCAGGGACGTCTGCTGTAGAGAAGGAACAGAGAGTTGTCTGTGATGGAACAGGGCCCTCAGCAAGTCCTGGGCAAAAGTAGAAGGTGCTAAGAAATAAAATAGGCCAACCCCAAGTCTCTGAAGTGGTGCACAGAGGATTTTCTCCTGAATTCACTCCTTGAAACTGTTTTCCAGTCAAGTTCTCTGGACTGGAAAGAGTGAAGGAGGCGGGGCCAGTCGTCTGGGGCTTCTCCTTCACAGGTGTCTTGAACAATTCAGTTATCCCTGATAAATAAGAACATGAAATAGATGTGTATGTATGTAACATAGGTACAAAATATAGCATGACATGAGGTCACCTCACACAGAATGAACTACAGGACAGGTGATCCATGGGAGTTGAATCCGTCAAAGAATGAGAGGACAGCCAGAGGAAAACTTAGCCAGGCCCCATCTCAATAAGAAGCTAAGTCTAGTGGTACGTGCCTATTAACCCCACCTGTACAGGAACACAGTACAGGCCTCACTTGGGCATAAATGAGAGACCCTAGCTGAAAAATAATGAAAGCAAAAAGAAGTGGGCTGTGGCTCAAGCGGTAAAATGCCTGCAGCAAGAACAAGGGCTCTGAATTCAAACCCCAGTACAACAACCAACAGCTCACTTATCTTCAAGTTATCTCTCATCGTTTATACTTTAACATTTCATAACTTCTGTATCAGTACATCATATATATTCACAACTTATAAGCATACACACACACAATATCTATCTTTGGTTTTGTATTTTTGTTCTTCTTTAAAAGGTAAATGTTAATCGACCCAAACACAGCTCTTGATATAGGCTACTTGGCACACGTTATACAGACAATGCATTGTACTGAAGGGTTTAATGACTTGCTACTCCTCATCTGCCACAAAATAAGACTCCGTGTACCCAGTTCTAATCTGACCTCCCTCCCGAACTGGACAGAGTGAAAGCATCAAGCACAGCGTGACACACAGCCACTGTGGCCTCCTTGCCTTCAGGGCCAGGCAAGCATGAGGGAGAAGGAAGTGGGGGTCACTCCATCACTAGCCGCTTCAGAGAACTTTCTCACAGCGCCTCCCTTCAAGTGATGGCTATGCTTCTCAGAACGACTGAAACTGGATTGCTTTCTCTTGCCTGGTTCTAATACAGATTCAGAATCCATCGAAGATCTCCATGTGAGAAACTAGAAACTCGACCGGGAAGAACAAGGGAAAAATCTAGAACATATTGGCATAGGAGGTAACTTCCTAAATAGAACTCCCCAATAGTTCAGCAAATTAGGAGCACGGATTGACAAATAGCTGTCCAGCAAAAAGGTGACATAGGCAGAGACTTAGCCAACAGGGGGGAGCACCAGCAGGGCCAGGGCGACCTTACAACTAGACAGAAGAGCCTGAAGGACGGAGAAAATCAGCATGGAGAAAATCTTTTCCAGCTGTCTATCAGAGAATAGGTGTAGCTCAAAGAACTAACCTAAGCGGACTGCTCCCTCACACCTATACTCCAAGGCTGAACTCTGAGGATCAAAGTTCAAAGCCAGCCCAGGCAGTCAAATGTGGAGGACTCTTATCTCCAATTAACCAGCAAAGAAACTGCTAGAAGTGGAGGCAGGGCTCAAATAGTGAAGTGCCAGCCTGGAGCAAAAAAGCTAAGTGGGAAGCCCCAAGTTCAAGCCCCAGTAGCAGCACAACAAACAAAAAAAGAACACAATTCCCAAAGAATCAACAACTCAATAGGTGGGCAAATAAACTGAACAATTCTCGAAAGGACAAAACAAATGGTCAATAAATATGGAAAGAAGGTGAATCTTGAAAAGCCAATTATTGCTCTGAAACAACTAGTCCCACCTCTGAGATAACCATTAGTGTGACAGCAGCGTCACATGAGAGCCTGCACCTGCCCCATGGAAAAGCATTCTCCCCACCTCTCCAGACGAAATGTATGCATTGGAACCCCCTCCGCAGAACACACAACCCCCAGAGCAGACAGAGACCTGTCCTTGCACTCCATCCAGCTTTGTATCTTCTGTGCCCACGCTCTCAAGTAGACAAAGATAAGTGGCAAGCATCAACAGTGTCATAACCACGAGGATCAAAGGGGTTCACAGTTGACAGCTCAGGCTGCTTACCTGACAGATCTTCACTGTAGTCCATTTTTCGGTTGAACACAAAGCTGTTCAGCATCCTGGAGGGCCGAGCAGGAATGCTGACCTTTTCAGTCTGAGCTTTCCCGATGACAATGGTACAAGGGGAGTTGGCATGGCCGGTGCTGAACTGATGGCGAACGCTGGCTGTAGGCTTCTGTAGAAAATAAGTAGGTAAGGGGGTAAAGTGTGAAAGCAGACACAGTCAGGAAGGGTCGTGCGACAGCGGTGACTAGTGTGACGGCAAGGTGGCGCGGCCGCCATACCTTCGGGGTGCTCGGCTTCCTCTGTCTTCTGCCCACCGGCTTTGGAGGACCGTGCTTCGGCACTCTCACCTGCGTCTGCTTAGCACCAAGTTTCACGACATCTGCCCACGATTTTGCAACTGTCAAAGGGAAAAGATGGGGGTGCTGCTCAGCCTGGCAGGGCCTCGGGCACTGACCTTCAAATGGGCCTGCCACCGCCACTCTCACCGATGAGGTTGGCCTCTGACGCCCCGCTTCTTCTCTTGGAACAGATCCTCTGCAGGATGTCATGCTGCCCCCGGCTGATGGATGTCCGCTTGGAAGACGAGCCGGCGCTCTTCCTCCCCGCTCTCTTAGGAGCGTCTGTCTGTCCCGGGGAGCCGCTGACCCCAGAGGCAGTCGAGGCCTTGCCTGATCTGCGTCTTTGGCCGTTTACCCCAGGCTGGGTTACTCCAGGACTAGAAGCCACAGCGCCTGTGCACACATCCTGCGCTGTGACCTCCACACAGATTTCTGAAGATTCTTCTTCCCCAGATGGGGGCTGCTCCTGACAAGAGACATATTTTCATAAGGAACTTTGCCAAACAACTAAGATTTCCACAATGCCTGTCACCAACCTATTCCACAAGCCATGGCACAGGATTTCAGGATGGGTGTGGTAGTTCAAGGATGTAATTCCAGCTACGGGGGGGGGGGGGGGGGGGGGGGGGGGGTGGGTTTGGGGGAGTGGGGAAGTGAGGGGGGGGTAATAGACAGGGATCAGTTCAAGGCCAGACAACCCCTATAACAAGAAGCCAGGTGTGCAACTCATGCCTGTAAATATCTCAACCGAGGAGCCAGGTCCATGACTTCACACCTGTAAGTTCCAGCTACAAGGGAGGCAGAAATAGGAGGATTGTCATGTGAGGGTGACCTAGGGGAGGGAAAAAAAAAAAAAAAAAGAGTTCAAAGGCTACCTGGAAAACAAGCATATCACAATGAGGACATGGCTCATGCAGAGTTCAAAACCCCAGTACAAAGAAAAGTATCTAAGATTTATCTTGAATCAATAGAAATTTAAGACCTGTCTTCCAACCCTAAAGAAGACAGCTGTCCCACTCATTTCTTAATTTTTTTGGCAGACCTGGGTTTGAATTATTATTCGGCAAGTGCTCTACCAGGTAAACACAAACCCAGTCATTTTTGTGTTACATTTGATGTTTTAGATAAGGTTTCAGTTTGCCCAGGGCTGGCCCAGATCCACAATCCTCCTCTGCCTGCCTAGTAGCTAGGATTACAGATGTGCACGGCCAAGCCCAACCCTGTCTGTTCATTAAGGGAAGAGCAGGGCAACACAGCATTGGTTGAGTCTAAGTTGAGATCTTCTGGGTGAAGTGTGGAGAGAACACGTGCTCATTCCAAGGAGGAACTCTGACTGGTCCCAGCAACTCCAGCTGCAGGTTCCAGTTCTGAGCTGACATTACAGGGAAGGAGAATGCAGGAAAGCGTTCAGAGTACCTTCCATCTCCGTTCCATAGCAAGAGGCAATAAAGCCTTCCCAGGCCCTGTGAGGAAGGTGATCTCTGTGGACAAATGCCTCTGGGATCTAAAGCCAAGGGAAGAAGCCAGGCCAAGCAATAGATGGCCAAAGGGCTAAGAGTGGCCTATGTAGAGAGGCGGTTGGACTGCCAGATTCCCCTTCTCCACAGTTAAAATGCTTTAATTGTAGCTCACAAACCTAAAAGAAAACAGAACACTCCTTGTATTTGCATGGGGCCACGTTGCAATGCGCCAGGGTGGTCATGCAGCACTACTGTTATCAGGATGTTCCCCATGGAAGGAGAAAGTGCAGGCACCTGCTGAGCAGTGACCCCGTCCTACACCCCAGAGCCTAAGTTCACCTCCCGGTGCCCAGGGTGCTGTCTTTAAATTACCAAAAAAAAAAAAAAAAAAAAAACCTAAGACCTGGGTGTGGTTCTACCTCGGGATGCTGGAAGGGAAGAAGAGAAGGGAAGAAGGGAAGGGAAGGGAAGGGAAGAGAAGGAAAGGGAAGGGTAGCGGCAGAGAGAGCCACCAGCAGTGAGAGGAGCACAGTGGTCAACAAGTGTGGCGACTCACCTTGATGATCTTCTTCAGGACAGCCGGCGTGTGGGTGACAGGCAGCTTCCTCTTGCTTGGTGTTTCTCCTCTTTTGAGTGGTGTATTTGGAGGCAAGTTCTCATCGAATAATTCAGGTCTCAGACGACCACCAAAGGACACACGTCTTCTCTTCAAAGAGGCTCCCTCGCTCTTGTCTAAATGAGTACACAAATGAGAAATGAGCAATTTAAAAAACAAAAAAAACCTATACCAGGACTTGCAACTTATTTCAAAGTAGCACTGGAAAATAACCCACCCGAAAAATGCACGGAAACCAGACAGCTTCATTCTCACAGAATAGTGACGAAGCCAGAGCAAGCCAGAGACTCAAGTTCCAACTGGACAGTAATGCCCCATGACATGTGTGGCTCAAGCTAATGACCAGCCTGCAGGAGTGGCTGGTCCTGCGGAACAGACAATACCAACACAACTTTACTAACAGACTGAAAAAACTTCCTAGGACTCGTATACCGGCCTGGCCCCGACCTGCCAGTGTGAGCTGCAATGTCTCCAGCCAGCAATCAATTCATGCAGTCCCACACAAGGTCCTGAGCCACCAGTCAGCACAAATCTCCCATCGCGGCAAGGCTCAATGGAACATACTTGCACAGCAGGCCACATGTGAAGAGGGACCTTGCTAAGACTGAAGCAGGGGACCACTCCTCTCTGTGTGCAGAAAGAAGCCACACCTACGCCAACCACTGTGTGCCCCCGGGCTGTCACTTTCACATTTGCAACAGGGAGATGAAGATTCCCCAGCAACTGATTCCAAACTGAACCCGAAGGAGACAGTGGACCGGGCAGGGTAGCCGCCTGTAGGTGAGTATAGACACTAAGTGGAAAGCCATCTGATTCTTCTCCTTACTGACTTGGGACAGATGGAGAGGAGACCCCATGTCTTTGGGTGCCTCCATCCTTCCGACTGGCCTCACAATGTGGTTCTCTAAGCGCCAGGACACCTCCTCTAGCCTCAGAGGTCTGAGTCCCCTCCCGTCCATCTGCTGAAAGGTGAGCACACTTTGTATTCTTCACCAGAGTTGCCATGACTGATTGACGGTCTCAAGTCATACCTCTATATACATGGTGGGTATTAACCTTTTGGGGGAAACAGATTTACAGTTAAATAAACTTACTAATGGAATCACCAAAGTTGCTGATATCAACTGAACTAAGACCAGGTAACCCAGAGCCAATCTGTCCGGATTTCACAGCCAATTTGTTGGGCTCATCAAGGAAATCCTTTGAAATCTTGCTTTCAGTGCGAGGAAAGCACTGAGTTATAAAAGGCTCCTTTCTGACTTCTGGAGGAGGCCTTTCTGCCTCTGCAGGAACGCTTCTGCTTCTGGAAGAGAGACAGTCTGGCTGACCGGCGGGGCTGGCAGTGGCCCCCGCAATGGCTGATGGGCGATTTCCAGTCAAGCGCCTCCGAGGTGTGACAGGTCTATCAGCTGACCCAATGCCTTCACCTGGGCCCAGATTCACAGCCTCTCCTCCAGTAATATACGGGCCTGTGTCCTTTCGTGGCTGGGAGTACCGCCCTGGGCTCTTTGTTGTAGTCTCAGCCACAGAAATGCTAGAATTCAGGGCCTCGTCAGAAGTGTGAGCAGGGTCCGCACTGATGCCCTTTTCCTGGGTCTGGTTGGTTTCTGGTGTGAATGAAGAGGCTGCCTTAATGCAGAGAGTGTCAGCAGACCTTGGTCTTGCTTTGTGTGACCCCCAGGGCAGGTTCTCCCTTCTCTCTTTCTCTGTGGCACTATCAAGCTGCAATCCTGATTTCCTCCGAGTCTGTGCAAGGCTTTGTTTTCGCAAGCTGAGGCTCAACTCCTCCTTCATCGACTGGTAGAGCTTCTCAAAGGGAGACTCTGTGTCCTTGCTACTGTCAAGGCTCTGTGCCAAGGGTAAAGACTTTAGGTCTCCGCAAGGACTTGCGGTTACCCTGGGCTTCTCCTTAGGACCCCTAGGAGTGGGCCTTCCTGCTTTCCCTCCATCGTTTCCCACTTGCTCTGGGGAACAAGCGTGAAGTAGCTGTGGGGCTGCTCTGTGCTCCGAGCCGTCGGGGGGTAGCGCTGTCGCCCATGAGCTCCTTGCCGGGCTCCTGAGACCTTGAAGCAGTGACTTTTGAATGGGTTCTGGAACCTTGAGCTTTCCCATCTTGGCAGTAAATTATGAAATAAGAAACAGAAGTTCAACGTTTTTCTCAACGATTAACCACTGTGGAATTCACTATTGTATCAAAACCTAGCTTCTCATTTAGTGCTCACAGTACTTAGTTGCCTAAAATGTACAATACTGTGATCTGATACTCTGATGCAAATAAATCATATTGCCTTCACTATATGTAAGGTAAAGTATACTACCGATCCACCCAGAATTAGGGACAAGTGAATGTACAAGCTGTGTACACCTGAACACGACCCTGAGCACGGAACCCCAAAGGTCACTAGGGGACGAGCTAGCTCAGCTTTCTGCCTTAATATGACCTGTGAAAAGCACACAGCCTCCTAGGGTTGGGGGAAAAAAGACTTCACACTTGCATGCTCCTCCTGCCCCTCCCTTGAGACAGTGCGCTCACCCCGAAGGTCCCAGAACATGACCAACCAGTACAAACCAGGGGGAGTAGAGAGGCTGGATCTGGAGGATCGCCGTGCCCATGCCTGTCAGGTGGAAAAATAAAACAGCAGTGATTTAGCACCTTCCTAGCGCTGACATTCTTCATAATAAAATTGTTCTAATTAATTAGCTTCTGGGCCAAAGTTCTGTGTTCCAGAAATGGCCCAAATCATTTAGAAGCTTGTGGTCATGACACAGCTAGAGCTTCTTGGCTGACTGTATTTATGTACATAGACCGTTAGAATAGAATACAAACTACAGGTTTAAACAGACACCGAAGCTCAGAGAACTTCCTTAAAGTTTATCCCCAACATCACATGAGAGAAGAACAAAAGCTAACATTCAACCTCACCTACATCTGCTAACTCAATATAGTACAGAACTTCACACTGCCCGAGTTTCCTTAGAAATGGGCTCAAGGGTGTGTTGGTGAATTCTGTTGCGGCCTAGCCTGTGCTCTCCTTGCTGGCAGACAATCACTGTGTATGGGAGAGCCCCAAAGTTAGGGCCCACGTGGGAACAGGACCCCACATACTGCCACCTCAGCTCCAGCATCCCTAGCCTGCCGCAGCACACAGTGCCTGCATCTTCTTCCTATGGAACTTCTGTTGATTAAGGAAAAAATTATCCAAAAACGATTACTAAAGATAAAGAAGATAGCTAATTCTCTCTAATTATTGTCTGTGAGGTTGTGGCAGGATTAAAAACTTCAATGCTTAATTTGAAGACCAGCATGAACTTGTTTCAAAAACAGCTCAAAACAAAACAGCTGAGCACCAGTGGCTCAGGCCTGTAATCCTAGCTACCCAGGAGGAGGCTGAGATCTGAGAATCACTGTTCAAAGCCAGCCCAGGCAGAAACGTCGCTGAGATTCTTATCTCTAGTTAGCCACCAGAAAACCAGAAGTGGCACTGTGGCTCAAATCATAGAGCTGAAGCAGCTGAAGGACAGCGCCCAGACCCAGAGTTCAAGCCCCATGACTGACAAAACACAACAATAATAACAACAACAAAACCCAGCCAGGCATTGGTGGCTCATGCCTGTAAGCCCAGCCTACAGGATGGCACTTCCAAGGAGGAGGGCTCATCATGATTAGTCTTCCTGTCTTCATTCAGTACTTTCCTCTCACCTGTGACTCTGCTAAACCAGCCAACTTCGCTGGTTTAGCTTTGGCTTAGCCAAACTTCCTTCCTCTGTTGTTTTAGATACCAAAGAAGACGATACCAAGTGGCAAATACTCCTATAGGAATGTTGCCCATGTTTTCAGTGACTTAAACTGAGCTGTAATGTCTTCTCCCGGATTTATCCAGCTTATTCCTGATGCAATTTTTCCATTCTCAAGGAATCTAAACTTCTATATGTTAAGATATGTTTAGCTTTTTCATTTATAAACAACTTCAAATTTCTAGATAGTTGAGATAACTCTTTGTGGAAGATGATAAGTTTTAATTTCAGGCTTCAATAGGAGTATCTTATGACTGATCGTCCAAAATGAACAACGAGAAAAACCTTATTAGTATAGACATGTGTGGTGACTCATTCCTATAATCCCAGCGACTTTAAAGCAGGGATCAGGAGTTCAAATCCCAAGCAAATGTTAGCCAAAACCCATCTCAATAAAACACAACAAATCAGCCCAAACCCATGTTGTATTTCACATCACCTGCTCCTGTCTTTTTCCTGGAAATTCATCTGGCTTGCTTTCATTCTGAGGACTTTCCTTTTCATACCTGCAAAACCCAGAACAAGACAGACTTGGATGAAGGGCGTAGAGTCTGTGGCTCACGCCTATATATTGGGTTATATTCGTAGACCTCCTAAGGAAGCAAGTCAGACTTTGTTCAGAGTATCATCCTACACACAGAAGTTTAGAGTTAAGAGAACATCTTACACTAACAAATTACATAACTGTCCTTAGGTTTCTTTTGGGACACTGCCATCAGATGCCGACCTTCTACTGACTGGCCACCTGTGACTTCACCCATGTTCCACACCCAAGGAGTCACCCACAGGCCCAGAAGGCCCATCAGCAACGTGCTCTTCACCCACACGGCAAAGTCACGTGCTTCCAGGTGAGACAAAGCAACCCTTTAGAACCATGAGCACTTATTGAGTCTGGATGAAACACTGCGTATTATCAGGCCAGACAACTGTTCCTACAGGTCTCAGCGACCAAAGCATAGGTGCAATCCTTCATGATTCGCAAGGTAATTTCTGGAGCTTCAATGAATAAATGGCCAGATTTGAAGTCAGATGCCAAGTAAGTAACATCTGAAATTATCAGATATTTTGGAACAGTTTCTCGTGATATCAGAGTACTGAATACAAATCTCTCCTCCTAAGACCCATTTTCTACTCTCTGTGGAGGGCATTTAATAATCACAACTGAATTATGTTTCTCTGTGGTGAACAGTTCATTCCAGGTTTATAATTCCTAACTAGAAGTTTATGTTTAATAAAGTGCCTTTTAAAATAGTGCATAACAAAGAACATTCTACAATGATTTGACAGATCAATCCAACCAGGTGCAAGTGGTATAATCCTGGCTCCTCAGGAGGTTGCGATCTGGAGGACTAAGACTCAAAGCCAGCCCAGGCAAACTCCACTAGACTTACCTCCAAAAATAACTAGCAAATACTCCTGCTGGAGGCATGGCAAGTAGAAGAGATCGGAAAGCAAGTGTGAGGCCCCCCAGTGCAAATCTCATATTGGCAAATAATAACAAACATGATAACAAAAATGATCATAAAATTGTAAAAGTCACTATCAAGAAGATATTGCAATCAAAAGCAAGTTACCCTCCTCCACTCTTTCACTACTTTTTCAGGGAGACTGAAAGAGGATACTCTCTATGCCTCAGATCATATAATAGTATTATCAAAATGAAAAACAAGAGCCACTTGACAACAAGTTCCAAGAGCCAACATATGCCATAAGAGCTAAACAAACCTGAAATTACAGGATGGAAAATATTACACTTAGCAAGCCCTAATCAAAGGAAAATATTTTGGTACAGGCATGTGGTTCTAGCAGGTTCTGAGTTCAAACAGCCTCTACAGGACCAAATCGCCTTGCCTCTGCCTACTTAGGTGACCTCAAATCCCGGGCTCCCATCACATTTGAGCCGCACGTGTCATTCAGAAATCTTTAGGCTTGTATGTTATCAGCGTTGGAAATGAAGGTCTGAAACGTTTCGACATTTGCCAACATGAAAGCAGGGGCCACACTGAACGGGGACACTGGTCCGCAGGCAGGGACAGCGCGACGTCTACCTCAGCCAGCCACTCGGCGCCTACCTGAAAGACCGGTCAATAATAGTGATGACATCGCCGTGTTTCAGGTGCACAGGTTTGTCAATGGCAGACCCATTCAGCTGGGTTGGATTTGTAGAACTGAAATTATATAATGTGGCCTACGGGTGGAGAGCAGGGGATATCTGTGATTAGCTAAAGGGCAAATAGGAAAGCTTTAGAAATGGTCTACCCCGCAACCCACTTACCTCCTGCCCGCTGACCTCAATTCTGCAATGCAGTTTTGACACTACAGGGAGCTGGATGCGAATATCACATTCGATATCCCTTAATAAAAAATGCAAAAAAGTATGGTGTTTTTGTTGTTTTCACAACACTTCAGTTTTTCAAAATAAAACCAAATTTGGCCAGCGATATGTATTTCACAAACATCACACAAGAAGCAATTTTAGATCTTTAATACATAGAGTTCTTAGAAATTATTATTTTAGAATAATGAGAACACCAATTACAATTCAGAAATCACTGTTCAAAAGCACACATAAAGTATTTTATACTAATTCTGAAGAATATTATTTTAGTGCTTTAAAAAAATAAATAAGCCTGTTTGTTTTATGGGTGTTTTACTCCAGCCTTCACAGCCCTAGCTCTCATAGCACCTCTCTGTGCTTGTGTCTTCATATAGAAATAGATGATATTAGGTTATACTATATTATATGCTAGGTTTTATTATTCTGTATGTTGTTTTGTTGTGTCAAACAAGTAAATGAGCTGCACACATCATTCACATGTATGGCACAAACACCATTGTGTGGGAGCTTTTCACTGCTGTTCTAAAACCACATACTAGCCAGGCACTGGTAGCTCAACCTGTAACTCTAGCTAATCAAGGAGGCTGAGATCTGAGGATCAAGGTTTGAAGCCAGTGATTCCAGCAGCAAAGTCAGTAAGACTCATCTCCAAAAAAAGCTGGAAGTGGGGCTATGACTGGGGGCTATGGCAGTAGAATGCCAACCTTGCGCACAAAAACTGAGACTGTGGTAGGCCTTGAGTTTAAGCCCCAGTACCAGTACACAGAATGAACGAAAACACACACACACACACACACACACACACACACACACACACACACACACACACACACACACACACACACTCCACCTGAACTGGTAGACTTGAGTCAATGAACATTACAAATACTAATCTGCAGGCAAAAAAAAAAAAAAAAACCTATCTAAATGTATTGGGCTCAAACAAAACTGAAACTCTTTAGTACAACTACTTAGAGATAAAAGTTACATTTATATACGTAACTGTACACATATATGTTTATCAATATAAACAATACAAAAATATCATTGGGTTCCAGTGGCTTGTGCTTTTAATTCTAACTACTCAGGAGGCTGAGATAGATCTGAGGATCACCATTCAAAGTCATCCCTAACCGGAAAGTCTGACTCTTTGCTAATTAGCCACCCCCAGACACACCCACACACGCATACGCATACGCATACACAGGCACACACACAGCTGGAAGTGGAGCTGTGACAAGTGGCAGAGTACTAACTTTGCTCAGGGATGGTGTCCAGACCCTGAGCTCAAGCCCCAGGACAGGAGCAAAAGAAAACAAGATGAAGAGAAAAGTATCTAGCTTCAACTTGCCCTTCCACAGAAGCTAGCATGGCAAAGCACAGAACTGATCATTCCTAAATCCTTCTGTGAGCTACTAGAGAAAGGTTCACCGGTAGCTTCCGGGAGCTTGCTTCAACATCCAGAGGTGGTGGACATGAATATGAACTGCTAATTCTGTTTCTCTTCCACATGAACCTCTAGAATCCAAGCATATTCCTTCCCTGAAGTCACACGACCAAACACGAATTCACAGACTACAATCTCTACTGTACAATAAATAAACCACCAAATGACCAGATCTGAGAACGCCAACTTTACTTCTTTCTTTCAAGGCAGGGGTTCACACCCCTAATCCTAGCTACTCAGGAGGCTGAGATCTGAGGATGGCAGTTCAAAGCCAGTCTGGGCAAGTAAGTCCCTCAGATCCTTATCAATTAATGTTTCTCTCTCTCTCACACACACACACGCACGCGCACACACACACGCACGCGCACACACACACGCACGCGCACACACACACGCACGCGCACACACACACGCACGCGCACACACACACGCACGCGCGCGCTCGAGCGCTACCAGAAATGGAGGTTTGGCTCAAGTGACAGAATGCCAGCGCCCGAGTAAAAAAGCTAAGAGACAGCACCTAGGGCTTGAGTTCGAAACCTAGTACTGTCAGGCACAAAAATTAATAACTGCAAGTGCCACGTATGCACACGGGCGCGCGCGCGCGCGCACGCACACACACACAGAGGATGGGGGGAGCGCCGGGCTGGCGGCAGACCCCGCACCCGGGCACTGCGGCGGTGACCCGAGGCTCCTCCCAGCCGGGCTGTCCCTGTCCCGGGCTCTGCCGGGGAGGCCGCCGCGGGCCCACCTCTCCCAGGCTCGGGGAGACGATGTTTCCAGACTCCTGGGTGGCCGCCGTCGGAGCCTGACCAAGTCCAATCCCCGCCCGCCGTTCCCGGCTCCGGACCCGCACCCGGGCCCGGCCGCGCGCACCCGGGGGGCAGGCTCCCAAGCGCCGTCCGCGCAGCCCGAGGTTTCGGTCGAGCGCCCTGTAGTGCTGGTCTCCGTGGGTCGGACCGGGACTGCGCGTCGCCAGGCCAGCGTCCACCCGGAGGCCAGGCGCGGGGCACGGAGCGCGGGACACGGGGCAGAGGGCAGGGGGTGCGGGGCAGGGGGCGCGGGACACGGGACAGGAGGCGTGGGGCAGGGGGCGCGGGGCAGAGGGCAGGGGCCACGGGCGGCCGCGCTCACCTTCCGAACGAGCAGCTGCGGAGGCTCAGCGGGAAGCGGGCGCCGTCCAGGCCGCTCCTCTTGATGGTGACCAGGCCCGGGGGCCCCATCGCCGTCCGCCGCCGCCGCGGTGCGCGCGGATCTGCCTGGCCGGGGCGGGGTGTCACCCTGGCGGCCGGGCGGGGCCCTCGCGCCGCCCCCCGCACCCCGCGTTCCCGGGATCGCCGGTCCCCCGGAGGCCAGGCCCGGCCGACTTACCGCGCGGGCCAGCCGAGGCGACCCCGCCAGGCCGCGGGTGGTCCGCCCCGCCCCGCCGCCGGTCCTCCGCACCACCCCGCGCAGTCCGGCCGCCGCGCTCGCCCGCTCGCTCCGCCTCGCCCCGCCGCCCCGCACCGCCCGGCCACCCGCGCCGCCCGCACCTCCCGCAGGACCCGGTGGCAGTTCCGCGCCAAAGACGCGCTCTGCGCCTGCCCGATTCAAACGAAAACGGCGGTTCAAATTCTGGCGCTAAGCGCTGCGATTGGTCAGGATGACGTGGCGAGAGACCAATAGGAAGAGCCCGGCGGGAGTGGGCGGGCGCAGTGGGTGTGGTCGTGGACGGAGCCTGGCAGGGAGCGAGGTGGGGGTGGAGAGGCTCCAGGGGGCGGGGCTTGCATGCGCGGGGTCCTGCGCTTCCGGCGCTTCTTCCGGAGGTTCTTCCGGCGGAGGGCGTGGTTCCCGCTCCAGCCCCTCGGCGTCCCTTCCTGTAACGGACGGCGTGTGTGTATTTTCGTAAGCTGTGTGTTAGCACGCGCTCAGCGCTGCAGACGGACAGCGGCTAGGTTTAATTTCCACAGGGTAAGTACAGATAGACAGCGCTCAGACTGACGTTCAAGACGTTGGAGGCTCCTGCTCCGGGGCAGGCCGCCCGCGGAGGCGAGGGGAAGGCCGGGCCGGGGGGCGGGGTGGGGTGGGGGCTGGGGCTGGGGGGGCTGGGGGGGGCTGGGGCTGGGGGGGCTGGGGCTGGGGGGGCTGGGGCTGGGGGGGAGGCTGGGGCTGGGGGGGCTGAGGGGGGCTGGGGCTGGGGGGGCTGGGGGGGGCTGGGGCTGGGGGGGGCTGGGGCTGGGGGGGCTGGGGCTGGAGGGGAGGCTGGGGCTGGGGGGGCTGAGGGGGGCTGGGGCTGGGGGGGCTGGGGCTGGGGGAGCTGGGGATGGGGGGGCTGGGGCTGGGGCTGGGGGGGGCTGGGGCTGGGGGGGCTGGGGCTGGGGGGGAGGCTGGGGCTGGGGGGGCTGAGGGGGGCTGGGGATGGGGGGGCTGGGACTGGGGGAGCTGGGGATGGGGGGGCTGGGGCTGGGGGGGGCTGGGGCTGAGGGGGAGGCTGGGGCTGGGGGGGCTGGGGCTGGGGGGGAGGCTGGGGCTGGGGGGCGGCTGGGGCTGGGGGGGGGCTGGGGCGGGGTGGGGGGGGGCTGGGGCTGGGGCTCCTCTCCAGGCCGGGCCGGGCAAGAAAGCTAGGACCCTGACGGGGCATCATTAGCTTGTTTCCCTTCCCATGTACCCCGGGGCAGCTAAATTAGAACTAGAAGGTGCTAGAAGTTTTATTCACCCCAAACTATAGACTACGTACCGACAGTTCTAAGAAGATTCAGGAAATCAAAGGCAAGACAGAGGGAAGGGTCAGGGCTCTCCAACCTCCGGGAAAGTCTGTCCTTAAAGGTGTTTTCTGGCAAACCATGGTGTGGATGCTTTCTGTTGAATTCTAAGCTTGTGTGTTTATTGTACATAACACGGCTGCAGCTGGAAGGACAGTCTCCCACAACCCTTGCAGACCGGCTTCTGGCTCTTTGGACACCACCCCCTAGACTCCAGCAGTGTCAGGAATATGGGGTTGGACACCCAGGGGCCCATGGGCAGGAAAAGCCTTCCAGGGAGGAGGTGGACCTGGGAAGTTTCCAGAATCCTCACAGGCCACGAGAAACTTGCACCCCTGATGAATTAGCCCAAAAAAGTGTCTAGGAGACCCTGCCCCTCAGCCCTCTCACCGGCTCCCCCCCCCCCCCCCCATCTCTGTGATCTCTGACTCAAGGGTGCATTCCCAATAAAATCTGATTTTATGATCCATAAGTTAGACACACACAGATCGTTGCACACAGACACACATCAGAATCATGATTTCTCTGTGTAGTTTTTATTAGGTTTCTATATATGCAAACAGACATTTTAAGTTACTGAAACCTTTTTGTGGTGTTAGTACCATTTTCTCCCTGGCTTTAGGCATCACTTGGATACCTCATTTTCTTCTGCTTATACATATATGACTTTTCCTAATATTTAGTGTACAAATGTGGTGAACATTTTGAGAACATCCCTGTTTATAGATTTTTAGATTGTGTTCTAAATAGAGAGCTTTGAAGATCCAGGTGCTTTATGAAGGTTGTAACATTTTTTTTTTCTACCGAGTTCATTGCCTAGGAATGCCCGTTTTATAGCAGCATTTAAAATTTTCTGCTAGTAGATTAAGCCAGAAATAGAATACCATTTCAATTTGAATTTTAGTATTATTAGTAAGTTTAAACACTTAGCTTACTATTTTTAATTGTCATTTTTCAGATTGTTGATCAGTGTTTTGTGTGTGTGTTATTTGCCTAGTTATTCATATCTCAAAACTCTTCTTGCTGATTTTTTTTTTTTTTTTGGTCGGTTGTGGGGCTTGAACTCTGGGCTTGGGCGCTGTCCCTGTGCTCTTCAGCTCAAGGCAAGCGCTCTACCGCTTGAGCCACAGTGCCACTCCGGCTTTCTAGTGGTTTATTGGAGATAAGAGTCTCATGGACTTTCCTGCCCGGGCTGGCTTGGAACCACGATTCTCAGATCTCAGCCTCCTGAGTAGCTAGGATTACAGGCATGAGCCACCGGCGCCCGGCTCCGATTTTTTTAATAAATAAATCCTTGTTCCCTAGATATCCTAGAACTTAAAATCAGTCATGAGACCAAGGATTATTGAAAGAGACTTTATTGGATTTCTTGGGAAAACACGTCTCTACGCAAATTTCCTGGGTGGCTGCCACATGTAGTGGGGGCAAATAGCAGAATGGGACCTACAACCCTCTCTTCAAAAATGATTTGAAAGGCGGATAACCAGCCTTCCAGAATAGGACAGAACAGGATCATTTGAATTCAAAATGGAAAGATGTAAGTAAAATAGGCTAAGAGAGGGTGCTGGTGGACACCCTGGATCCCATAGGGACAGGCTTGGATTCAAGAGGGGGGTGGGGGATGGGAGGCAGGCATGTCAGGGGTGGTAGAGCACCCTGCTATGTTGGGCAACAGACTCAAAAGGTGACCAATGACACCATTGTTTCAAAGAGCTCCTGAAGTGGAGCACAAAATGTAATGGAATATATGTGGTAAGAGATGTAAACACTGCCGATAGATATAACTGATTATCACAATGATAATTGATAACCTAATTTTAAAAAATACCACGCATTTCTGGGCCAGATCTCAGTAACTAGGAACTTGCAACTCCCAATGCTGGAGACTAAACCTTGAGCATATGAGCCTTTAGGTGGGTGGGGAGGTGCTCCAGATCTAAACTATGACACAATACTGAGGTGACCATTTCTATGGAAACAATGTACAATGTTGAGAGTGTGAGTGCTTATGTAGACAGTCACTAGAGCTGAGGAATGATGAAATAAATGTCCCAGGAAAGCACATGAGCCTCATTGTCTTATTGGTATGCACCTAGAGGAAAGGAATGTTACTTCAGCTCCTCTTTGAGAAAGAGAAGAGTTTAGCTGATTTTCAGAATGCCCATAGTAAGGGACCAATAGACTGAAGAAAGGGAAAAACACAAAACCAAGAGACTAACTTACTATAACAAGGAATTTGCTTAAGCATAACCATTAGACCATAAATATAAGCACTCTGAAACACCAGATTGTGCAGGCAAAACCAGACAATAATACAATGCAGTGAAAGATTCTCCATCTCCATTTTATTTATCTTGAACAAAGTAACATTGTTGGTACCAGACTTGTCCATTGATTTGGTAAATTTAATCAATCTTTTAACAGTCAATTTATCCTCCAAAATATTTCAAATAGCAAATGCAAAATATAGGCAGACAGAATTCTATACCTACTTCTTATTAAAAAGAAACTGTGGAAAGAACATACAATGTAAAAACCAAGAGTCAGAGAAGAGAGATGGAAGGTAGATTTCTCTACACTTACTTTCTTTGGTACTTTAGAGTATTACCATGTAAATGCTTACAAAAATATAAACCAGCTGGGCACCGGTGGCTCACACCTGTAATCCTAGCTACTCTGGAGGCTGAGATCTGAGGATCATGGTTCAAAGTCAGCCTGAACAAGAAAGGCTGTGAGACTTACCTCCAGTAAAGCACTAGAAAACCGGAAGTGGTGCTGTGGCTCAAGCAGTAGAGCATTCACCTTGAGCTGAAGAGCTGAAGGACAGCACCCAGGCCCAGAGTTCAAGCCCCATGACCTACCAAAAAAGAAAAAATAAATAAAAAATTAAAGAAAACTCTGAAAGTTGAAATGAAAATTAAATTGTGTATCAAGCCACAGACTAGCGACATAGACAAGAAGAATTCAAAGAAATTTAAGACCTTTTAGTGATTTTGTAGCACATGTCCAGGTAGGCATTCCCTAGGATAAAACGACCCAAAAAATTATATGATATGAGCATGTCACATTTTCAGTAATTATTATGACAGCAGTATTAATGTCATTGTGAACCCATAGGTTCCACCAGAATAAAAAGCCCATGGGTACTATGCGGACATCACTGAGAACAGAAATTATTTTCAGCTTAAGAAAAAATAGTTCACATATAAAATAAAAAGAAAACGGGAAATGAAGGTATGGCCCAAATGAGAGTCTGACCTTGAGTGGGAAGAACAGGAGACCCTCAGCGCAAGTCCCAGTATGGATCCCCCCCCCCCCCTCTGCCACTCTGCCTCTCTCTGTCTCACTCCCTGTCTCTCTCTCTGCCTCTCTCTCTCTCTGCCTGTCTCTGTCTGTCTGTCTGTCTGTCTTTCTCTCACACACACACACACACATATACACACACGAGGACTTGGTCTCCCAACCTCAGCTGTTGGGGAGGTGTTTGTCCCTTACAGAAGGTGCCAGGTCTCCCAGTAGGTCTGCTGGGAGGAGAGCCCAGAGCAGCTGGGCTGGGTGGGTGGCAGCCGGGTGGGGCCTGGGAGAGCCGCAGCCCCGCAGCAGAGGTGGTTTGAATTTCCCGCTGGCGCCAGAGGAAGCCCGGGTTGTAATCAGTGCCCACACGTGGGGTGTGGGGCAGAGGGCCAGAGGGAAGAGCCCACAATCTTTCACAAATGCAGCCCGACCCAGATTATCCCCAGCTTGTTTTTAACTGGAAATGTCAGTATGTCACATGGAATATTATCTCTTTATAGATTGAATAGGATGTGTATATGTGTCCAGGTTGGGAATTTGTTCCCAGGGTGGTGACGGTAGTGGCGCAACCTTTAAGGGGTGTGGCCCGGGGTGGCCCTTACGTCACTGGGTGCTGGGTGGTCTGTTTTAGAAGGAAGAACGGTCTTCCTGCTGCTGTGGGTGCTCCACCACTGTTACCTCCACCTGTACAGCAGTGAGCCCAAGCAGGCTGTGCCCTTGATGCTCCAGCACCGGGAGCAATGTAAGGCCTTCCTCTCTTTCCTTCCTCTCCTCCTCCTCTTCCCTCCTTTCACTCCCTCCCTCCACTTCCCCTCCTCCCCTGCTCTCCTCTTCAAGCTTCATTCTCTGGCTTGCTTTTTCACTCACATCTGTACCCTCCCACCTCTTAGGCTTTTTGTTAAGTGGAGATAAGAGTCTCAGGGGCTTTCCTTCCCTGGGCTGGCTTCAAACTGGGATCCTTAGATCTCAGCCTCTTGAATGGCCAGTATTCCAGGTGTGAGCTATTGGTGCCCTGCATTCCTTTCTCTTGGAAAGCAGTCTGTGTCAGGTCATTCATCATAGTGAAGAGACACTGAGTGTGTCCCATAGATGTGCAGCTCCTCCCTTACCTTCCTGATGATGGTCTTAAAATAACCACTTTCCACCACAAGGAACCAGGCTTCTCTCTTTAGAAATGGCCTGTCTGGGCCTCGGCAGCAAATGGGTAGGATGCTTCTAGAATGTCTGGTTATGGCAAGAAGCAAGGGTACTCCCAAAAGTTTCTGGGGGATCCAGGTGCCAGTGGCTCACGTCTGTAATCCTTACTCAGGAGGCTGAGATCTGAGGATCACAGTTCAAAGCCAGCCCAGGCAGGAAAGTCCATGAGCTCTTATCTCTGATGAACCACCTGAAAACTGGAAGTGGTGCTGTGGTTCAAGTGGTAGAGCGCTAGCTTTGAGCTGAAGAGCTGAGGGACAGCGCCCAGGCCCAGAGTTCAGGCCCCACGACCGACAACAAAAAAAAGTTTCTGGGGTCATCTAAGGACCCGGAGTCACAATGAAAGGGCTTTGTGCAGAACACTGGGGAAGCGTGATCCTTGGTAAAAATAATAACTGCTATGAGCTAAGACACACCAAACACGTCTAAATTCTTTAAGTCTCAAGTTTACAGAGATACCAGGATTGAGAGAGGAAGGAGGGAAGGAAAAAAGGGAGGCGGGGAAGGAAGGAAGAGGAAGGAAAGAAAGAATAAAGGAAAGGAAGGGAAGAGAAGCCCACTGGGACCTTTAGGCTCACAAGGAGTCCCCCACAGTGCCCACAGCAGGGATGTGGCCTCTGTGCGGCTTTGCATTGGACTGCGCCCATACCCATGGGAGCTTCTCCCTAGAAATGTAATCAGCAAATGAATGTAGAAGGAAAATCACCATATACAAATCCTTGATTAAAAAAACTCCCAGGTCCAGATGCAAACTCGTGCCTGCAACGCAGCTACATAAGGGGCAAAGCTGGAGATGATGCCAGTTCAAGTCCAGCCAGGAAGAAATGTTATCAAGACTCCACCTTAACGGGTAAGCTGGGCATGTTGGTGTTGCTATAATCTCAGCTGTTCAGGGAAGACCTGGGTAGGAACATCTGTGGCCCAGCCTACCTTAAGACAAACCACAAGCCCCTATGCATAAAAAACAAAACAAAGCTAAAAACCACAGAAACACAAGCCAGGAAGCCTGGAGGCTCGGTTCAAGTGGTAGAGCACTTATGCAGCAAGCCTGAGGGTCTGAGTTCGACCCCCAGGACTGCAAAAAGGGAACCCCAGACAAGCACATCTACAAATATGAAACAAAGCAGCCACGTCGGCAAACGCATACAGCGAAGGCGCCTCACACAGAACGCGCGTTACCCGCAGCCCTCACCCGCGTGCTCTGGAGAAAGCCAAACCAAACCACAACGTGGAGAAAAGCCTCCAGGGGCCGCCCAGCTGCCAGGAGCCATGGGACTGAACTCTGGTTCTCCTCTGTGTGCTGCTAGAGTGCGGTGCACAGCATCGTGCCACTCCTGTCTGCTGGGAGGAGCCGCCGGCAGGTGAGGAACCTGCCAGGGTGGACAGACCCCAGCACCTTGGCTGCCCAGTGTCTGCTTTCACTCTTCTCTGCCCCCTGCCGACAGCCCTGAAACCGGGTCCACCTCCCCAGGCAGGTCTTTAGGGGTATCCTTCCCAGCCTGCACGAGCACAGCACCCCTGAGATGAGAGAGGGGCAGGCTGGGAGCTCCGTGGGCATCTCTGACCATGGCCATGGAGTCGTGGCCTCTGGGGAGGGGGTGGGGCTGCTGAGAAGAGAAGCCAAGGCCCAGGTGCTGAGCGGGAGGAGGCCGCACAGGCCAGGGCGGGTGAGGGTCATGTTGACCCTGCTCTTGGGTCCTTGGCCCAAGGTCTGGACATGAACAGCCATGGAAGGAAAACGATTTCTGTCTATGTAAGGAGAGTCTTTTGCTGCAACAAGAGCAGCATGGAAGGTCTTTAAATAAACAAAACATCATTCACAATGTTGTAGGAAAGTGCTTTTTTTTCCAATCGTGCCAATTGTGAGGCTTGAACTCAGGACCAGGGTGCTGTCCTGAGCTGTTTTGTTTGCCTGATGCTAGTGCTCTACCACTTGAGCCGCAGCTTCGCTACCACCTTTTTTTTTGGTGGTGAATTAAAGCTAACGAGTCCCACAGACGTTCCTGCCTGGTCTGGCTTTGAACTTTGATCTTTAGATCTCAGCCTCCTGAGTAGCTAGGATGACAGGCTCCAGCCATCGGCGTGTGGTGGGGAAGTGCAGTTTAAACACCCTGTGACAGGGCCACATATTCACGTGACTGCCTCAAATTGAAGAGAAGATGGCACGGGTTGTGGGGACGCACAGGCTTTGTTGGTGCAAACAGAGGAAGCAGCTATACTGCAAAACACACAGCCAGTGCTCACGTCTGTGGTCTAGGAGGCTGGAATCAGAGGACAGGAGTTTGAGGCAAGCCTGGGAAATAAAGTCCCTGAGACTCTCTCTCCAATTAACCAGCAAAAAGCAGGGCAGGAAGCCTGGCTCTCAGGGTAGAGTGCTAGCAAAGCAAGTCAGCTGAACAAGTTGTGAGACCCTGAGTTGAAACATAGGTATTGCTCTTCCTCCCCTGCAAAAAAAATAAAGTTAGACATGGCTTCTGATAACTCTTTCATTTTTAGGTGTGTGCAATAGATAACTGAAAGCATATTGCCACCAAAAGCCTGGAGTGCGTTTTATTTATTATATTCACAACCTAGGAAAACAATCATTGCAATCAGACCCGGTTTATGTTCTTTATAGTAAAGAAGCAGGCGAGGCTCCCTGTGAACCTCCCATCCCAGCTACTCAGGAGGTGCATATTGGGAGGATCACAGTAGGAGGCCCGTCTGAGCAAAAAGTCAGCATGACCCTATCTGAGCAGTAATACAACCCCAGAGGACTGAGGATATGGCTTAAGTGGTAGAGCGCCTACAGGCACGAGGTCCTGAGTTCAAATTCAGATGTCAGATCTGGGGTCCCGGGTGGGGTCCCAGGTTGGGGTGGTGGCAGGTTCACTGGAGGAGGGAATTCTCCAGAGGAAGGAGACCATTGCTCTCACAAGGTGCTCACAGCTGTGAGAAGCCTTACCCCTCTACAGTTCACAGCTGTTCATTTCACTGGATGCACACTGTAACCCTAATGCAAACTATTTTAAGTCAATCAGATGTAAATTGTGGGCTTTATTTAAGTCTGATTTGGAAAAACAAGGTATAAACATTTCCATGAGCAAGTTGGAGACGTCTGGATACCGAGTGAGTATTTGATGCTGTTCAGGAAATCCTCTCGGTGGCAGCATGGACGCATCACTTGTCAGGAGGGAGGGACGCTTGTCTGCGGGTGGTGCCTGGAGTATTCATGGAGGAGGAGCTGCGCTGCCAGGGGTTTGCCCCTTCGTGGCCCTGGGGGTGGGGCACGGAGCAGGTTGATTGTGCTCTGTGTGGAGAAGCAGGTAGAGGATGCACACCGATAGTGCCCAGTGTCCACTGCACAAGCTGTGTGACGGGAACATCGAGGTTCATTTCGTTGCTCTATCTCTAGGTATTTCAACTTTTCCCGTGAGAAAAATCAACGAAGTGTTCCAAGCCTCGGGAACTTAGGAATGGGGTCCTTCGGTTGGGGGTGGCGTGGGCAGGAAGAGGCGTGGTTCAGGAGCTGGTGTCTGGGTGGCACGTGGAGAGCCATCTCTGTCCTTGTGGGTGCCCGGTGTCCTGGCTGGGCAAAGGTGCCCTGCTTTAATTTGAGATGCTGGTAGCCTCAGACCCTCTTAGGGTGATTCCTTAGAAAAGGGGTTTCTACTCAAAACCTGAAAGTGCATGGAAGGCTGACATTTCACACAAACGCAGCCCTCCGGGGGCTGGTGGACTGTAAGCAGAGAATCAGTCCAGCTCACCAGCCCAGGCTCCACCATCTGCTGCAGGTCATGGGTGGTGGCTGAGACCCCGTGTGTGTGTGTGTGTGTGTGTGTACGGGGAGTGCACAGTCCCCACCCCATCCCACCCACCCAGCGCCCAGCTCGTCCACGGGGGCAGATGCACAAATAGAATGTACATAGAATGGACTGGGATGGCGATGGCCGGGACCCCAGCGCCATCTGGCACTGCCGCCGTGCTACTGCTCTGAAAGGCAGCTGTTCCAACAGCAAGGAAAGGCTGCCTGAAATGGGCTCGATATTTGCAACACTGAGCGATTTGTCCTGATTAATTTACTACTTTTAATAGTACTAACTATATTTGAAAACTTGAGCCTACAACATTATGCTAATTTGGGCATCTGCTCAGCTGGCCATCTGGATTTTAGCTGTTTACATCGCTCCTTATGTGTCAAGCCATGGGCTAAAGGTAAAGATGGAGGATACACACTGTGAGTGGACACTCACTGCGGGGTGGACACACACTGTGAGTGGATACTGCGAATGGACACACACTGTGTGGTGGACACACACTGGGGTAGGTACATACTGTGGGGTGCACACTCACCGTGTGGTGGACACACACTTGTGGAGTGGACACTTACCGTATGGTGGACGCACACTATGGGGTGGACACACCGTGTGGTGGATGCACACTTGTGGGGTGGACACACACTGTGTGGTGGACGCACACTATGGGGTGGACACTCACCGTGTGGTAGATGCACACTTGTGGGTGGACGCATACTGTATGGTGGACACACACTGTGTGGTGGACGCACACTATGGGGTGGACACTCACTGTGTGGTAGATGCACACTTGTGGGTGGACGCACACTGTATGGTGGACACACACTGTGGGGTGGACACACACTATGGGGTGGACACTCACTCTATGGTAGACGCACACTATGGGGTGGACACTCACCGTGTGGTGGATGCACACTTGTGGGTGGACGCACACTGTAGGTGGACACACACTGTATGGTGGACACACACTGTGTGGTGGACACACATTGTGGGGTGGACACTCACCGTGTGGTGGACACACACTGGGGTGGACACACACTGTGGGGTGGACACTCACCGTGTGGTAGACACTGTGGGGTGGACACTCACTGTGTGGTGGACGCACACTTGCAGGGTGGGCGCACACTGGGGTGGACACACACTGGGTGGATATACACTGGGGTGGACATTCGCTGTGGGTGGACGCTCACTGTGGGTGGACACATACTGATGGATACTCACCTGCAGGGTGGACACTCACCTTGGGGTGAACATACGCTACAGGGTGGACACACACCTGAGAGGCCCTGGGTGGGCGTGTTGAAGTCCCTGTCCCCAGCCACAACAGAGGCTGAGTGTTGCTGCCATCTGGTGGCAATCTTCGGCTCAGCATGGGTGGCCACAGGGGTCTGGGAAGAGCCGAGCCCTATTGCAGTGATGTTTAGTTCTCTTCTACTGTAGACAGCTTGCAAAACTGACAGCAGAAGCCATTTCATGCCTGCAGTCCTACCTACTCAGGAGGCTAAGAGCTGTGAACTGCTTAGTTTAATGCCAGCCCAGGCAAGAAAGTCTGTGAGTCTCATGTACAGTTAACAAGCAGTGGAGCTGGAAATGACCTGTGGCTCAAGTTGGTAGAGCGACAGCCTAGAGCGGACAAGCACAGGGACAGTCAGTGCCCAGGCCCTGAGTTGAGGCCTCATCCTTTGATGGAAAAGGGTACCCAGAGGGTTGTGAGGATGTTGGAGTGTGTTTTCATGAGTGGAGCGAAGTTCCCCCCAAAAGCCTGTTCCGGGCTCCCCACTTAGCATTTCAGTTCCCTCCTGACCTACCAGAAGAGCTGTGCCAGGTGCTGTGGATATTCCCACTGTAGTCAGGACCGGGGGATGTGAGGGCGGTTCTGGGGCACTCGCCCTCAGGGGCTGCCTCTCCGTGTGCAGCCTTGACCATGGAGGCGGGTCCTGGGTGCCTCTGGGCCCTGCAGCCCAGGATGTTAACAGCTTCTATAGTCCAGAAGCTGGGGCTGGTCCAGAGCTGGGGTCAAAGTCACCTGGCTCTGCAGTCCTTCTTGCTAGCAGCTGAAGGACAAGATTGTTTTTTTTTTTTTCCTCTCAGGATAATTTGCCTTTTTTTTTTTTTTTTGGCAGCTGGCAGCTTCCTGCGGTTCCTGGAGGACCTGAGCTGCGAGTTCTAGCAGGCTGCGAGAGGTGAGTTGGGATTTGTGCGGCTTCGCTGCGTGCTCGTGAGTCTGCAGTGCAACGCTGCGGGACGCAGTCTGTGTCTTGTCTGTGTGCTCTGAACAGCTAAGATAACCCGAGGCCAACATCTGGAGATGATTTTGAGACATGGGCAATATCCTTTTCTTCTATGAATGTATTGTTCTTTTCCTTTCCTTAGCTGTATATAGGGGTACATCTTGATCAATGCTGCCCCTTCCAACGTTCTCTTCCATCTCTCCCATACCCTCAAGTCACCTGACTCCACTGTTACCCATGTACCTTGGATGGACTGTATTTGCCCATCTTTCCCCTCTCCATTCATCTGCCCCACCCCTTGGGCTCTCTCTCCCCCAATAATATATTTCAGGTGCCTGGTATTCATTTTGGAATACCACCAAGTTCATTTTGGTATTACACCATTGGAATGCTCCCCTGCACACACCATACTTCAGTCAATATGTTTTTGTGTATATGTCTCTCTGAGCCTGACTTATTTACTTCCATAAAATTTTTTCAAGTCCATCCATTTATTTCCCTGAAAATGACATAACGCTTTTCCTCCTGATGGATGAGTAAAATTCTATTGTGTGTGTATGTGTGTACATGTGAGCATACACATACATATAAATACATTTTCATAGGTATATATATTCCATGGTGTATATATGTATATAACATTTTCTTGATCCATTTATCCATTGTAGGGCATCTGGGCTGTTTCCATCTTGTCTAGAGTGAAGAATGCAGCAATGA